CTTGGTCCGCTGGAACGCGCATCATGTGGGGCGCCCTCATAGGATTGTTGTAGTTGATCTTTCGCACCTCGCCATTTTTGTTACACCTATATGAAACAAGACAAGGCAAGGCTATAGTGAAGCTGGTCTCTGCAACTAGAACACACACAATTTTAGTCAATTGATTCAGAATGGCTATTCAATGGAAGTCTCTTCATGTAAAGTTGAGTCTCGTTAAAACTCGTTCGGACCTGGCCAAATTGTTTGTTATATCAGAATTTTGTATTAAGAGGAACATCAGTCCCATTCATTGTGCACATATTAAATGCACAGTCGGGACTAATATTTAGGGCTTTATGTTTGTTATAACCAGAATTTTGTATTAACAGAGTTTGTACTAACGAGATTCGACTGTACATGTACATCTGGTCTACACCATGGGTCACATGCCGCCCATCCATTTGCAGGAAAGAATGTAGTATCCAGACGCCACTTCGTGGTTGTTGTGTATAAAGTCTATTGAGAGTCAAGAATATTTTCAAAGAGTTTTATAACAAAATTGGAAACGCTTCTCAGTCCCAGACTCCTGTCTTTTCAACATTTTTGCAATGAATGACCTTCAATGAGAGAACATATAAAAAGTGGCATCAGCTATAGGATGCAACACTCTTTCCCATTTGCGTTATGGGTAATCATATACGACAGCACTGCCTGGCCACATGTGACAGTCAGATTATGCCAGGCTTGCCCTCTTAGACCACCAAAAACCGGTCAGGTACGTGACCATAGTTCGGTCAAGGGTGGGCGGGACTTAATATTGTGTAAAAAGAAGTGGTTTTCTAAATGAGAAAATAGCAAGGAAGAACCGGTTTTGTGTAAGCAAACTTCAGGGAATAATCCATTGAAGTTAATATCTTGTTGGAAAATTCCAAAATCATTCAAAGAAAGTAATTACCGCCGTGAATCAGAGTTTATGAAGGGACGGAAAGTGGGATTTGCTATCAACAATGCCATTCGTCATTCTTTACTTTATGGGATGTGAATCAAATTGGAGGACGAGAGACTCTGGGAGCTGATGTACTTTTTTAGAAAGAGAAAAAAAACTTAACAAATACGCTCGGCAGTTCAATCATGTACATACACCGGTATCCATACCGATGAATTAAGTCTTAAATAAACGGAAATCTTCCCTGCAAGCTGGTGGCAAAAAAGAAATGTTTTTCTAAAAAATACATCAGCCCGCAGAGCCTCTCGTCCTCCAATTTGATTCACATCTCATAAAAGGTAAAGAATGATGAACGGCCCTGTTGATGCTGATAGCAAATCCCACCGTTCCGTCCCTTCATAAACTCTGATTCACGGCGGCAACTTTCTTGAATTGATTTTGGAATTTTCCAACAAGATATTAGCATCAACGGATTATTCCCTGAATTTTGCTTGCACAAAACCGGTTCTTCTTGCTATTTTCTCAGCTAGAAAACCACTTCTTTTTAAGAAAACACGAGTACAAGTCTGAGGAAAACTAAAATTCATGGTTAAATTCCATTTAACTTAACATGTAGTGCATGGCGACATGTATGATTACGCCCTCAAGTTCCCTATAAACACAATCATGGATCAAGCTAAAGAGCACAAATCTAGAAAGAGAGTCAAGCTACAGTTTTGATGTGATGCTTGTGGTGTAATTTATCAACTTTGATGACCCACCCACGAAAACATGAATGCATTTCATTCAAAAAGACAGGAGAAAGTGGCCAGGAAATGCCTCAGATGCACTACAGAGCATCTAGATCCAAATAAGTTTTGCGATAAGCAAACGTCCAAAACTTTTCACTACGATAGGACGGAACATTTTCCTCAAGGCAGTGAGTTCCTTTTAACTCACTGACCCATACCTACGGATTCTTTTGAATCCAGCGGCTGATGAGTCCCAGAAGGGACGAATATGCATTCTGCTATTGCCCTCAGGTAAAACCTAACCCACCCCACTGCCTGGGTAAACTTGGCTACGGTCAAAACTTCCATTGATTTCTCCTTCTTATTTCTACCCAATTTTTGAGACCCCTTTCATGTGTCTCAATATTGAAGAACATAAACCACACAATATGTCACACCATCGAATAACTCAATGTGTTGTTCTTACGCATATTGTTTATTCACAAGCCAAGAGGAGAGGCGTCTCTGAATGGGATAGAGCCATCATTTCTCTCATCTGTGTCTCGAGCACCTCATCAGAGAGTTTGTATTTTTCCTAAGTTTCTAGAATTGGGAGCATTTATTATCTGGGGTCTTTGGCAGTTTATTTGGTCTGCACCCCTAGCCTTCACCTTTTTCATACTACATGGGGCGAAGTGGGGATGGGACGAAGTGGGGATGGGGCGAAGCGGGGATGGGGCGAAGTGGGATGGGGCGAAGCGGAGATGGGGCGATGTGGGGATGGGGCGAAGTGGGGATGGGGCGCAGTGGTTAGGGGCGAAGTGACATGGGGCGACGTGGAAATGGGGCGAAGCGCCGACACCCTCAATAATGATAGGCCCATCTAATTCCGCTGTTCCTTGGCCCTCAGACACAGCCTGTAATTTCCCTGGTTCTGTGGCCGGTTAATTTGTTGTCCGTGTCAACTTCTCGTGTCTCTGTCCCTTGATTCTCTTTGGTCTCTTCTGACCCCAACTGTGGACAGTTTTCCACCAAAACCACAACAGGTTACCCGAACTCCTTCGACGGTAGCACTTAATTCCGAGTTGCTTGAGATCTGAGGACCGCCGTTCATTCTCGCGGCTTTGTAGAGCCTGGAGTTCCAAAGCCGCTGCAACGGCTTAATCGTAGTTGTGCGCATTTGGATAATCCTTGTCCATATAAGGTTTCCGTCACGGAGAGTATTCAAAAAGTCGGGTATTATCACAATTGACCTTGTCTACAGCTGCCGAACCTCCTCGGCCAATTCCACAGGGTTTTCCGATGGTTCCTGCCGACGATTCCTTATTTGGGCTCGATGAAGTTCCTTCCTCCCGAGAGGGTATATCGAACCGGGACTCTATAAGACTTGACCAGTCGCTTATAATCTTTTGCCTCGATCGGCCACCAAACTACTCATACCGAGCACCCACACCACGGCTCCATACAATTTATGTCACGGCCACCGTGCATGGGGTGGGATGGGGCCCGGGGTAATTAATGCACCATGAAGACTATATATAATTCTTTGTATTCATTTTCATGGACATTCACACCCTTTATGCTGTGTTCTGCAACTTCCTGCCATAAACTGAGTATTAGTGAATCAATTATAGCTAGAAAGTAACCTGGCGGTTCCTGTCGGCACAGCATGCACCACAGGCACAGCACAAACTGTTGAACTAAACTCGCGCCAGCCTGCGACAGTCACAGTGCCTTTTTGCCTAGAAATATGACGTCATAAGAGGGGAATGTAGTTGACGACTGTTTTATAAAGATTATAAGTCGAAACAAAAGAAGATTTTCTGCATACTTTCTAGTTGTTAGTTACTCTACGATTTATATATGGAAGATACTTTAAAGGGAAGTAAAATTATGTAATAAGATGGTAAGAAGGTTTATTTGAGAGCATCTTTTGAAGAACGTTTCAAATTCAATGTATTTTGTGGCTGCGTCAAATCGTATACGCAACATGTAACAGCCACTGACATATTTGGCGATCGTGCATAGAGGGGAAGACTGTCCGCTGAAAAAAAATGAAACAAGAAGTACTTGCACAGAGCATACAGAGGTCACAATGGGAAGGGCGCCTCGCACGATAGGTAGGTAAAAAGCAGATTTGCTCCATTCACGCAACGTGCCTACTTGTGCAAAGCCAATACATTATTATTTTTATGTATTTTTCTTTTAGTGTACAGCGTTTTTAATGTAATGTAAAGTGTGGGTTTTTAACAAAATAAAATGATTGTTAAACTGGCCAAAAAATTGAAGGGAATCAATCATATAAGCATTCTATTCATGTTATGAGCAGTGGTTATACAATAGAAAATTATTTATTTATAATACATACAAAGAATCAAATGCTGACTTTTTTTTCAAGGTAAAAAAAATGATACTGGTTTCCATGTTTGAACTCTACATTTAATAGGAAAGTTGTAGTCTTTTGAGTAATCGCCGCTAACTTGTATTCTCTGATACATGTATATAAAAATAAATTAATGATAAGCATTGCTAATTAATACTAGACATGCTACTTTTTTCACTGACAGGTCTAGTTTTATCCCCCTTTTATTGATTTATTCGTTCGTTTATTTATTCCTTTACTTTTTAATTCATTTCTTAGAGTATTCGCCTTTTTAAGTTTTTTTTTTCTTCCACAAAGAAAATCCCACTCGCATTTTGCCTTATACAATAATGCACAATGTAGCAGCGGGCGCGTTTACCTTCCAACCGTAAGCGGCGCCCTTCTCCAAAGTCCAATTTGATGACGTCGTCGTGTTTCACAGGTCACCGTACAAATAGGTACCCAGTGTCCTATCTTCCCTTCTATTGATATCGAATGAATGGTGACCGTTTTAGCCAAATTTCGGCTAAGTTTGGCAGAATTTTTTGTACAAAAACAAGTTTAACAGAAATTTGACAGAATGGATTTTTTGGGCAGATTTCTGACAGAATCTTCAAAAATGGTTATTTTCACAGAAATACATAGCAAAATTTTTGTAAAAAAATGGTACATTTGTTTAAAAAAACTTCAATCTTTTCAAACAAACACTTGCATAATGGGACAGGTTGGCTGGTCTATAGTACCGGTAGCTCTTAGAACTGGGACTAATTCGTCGTGACACAATTAACCGCGTTTTATTCAATTTCATGACATATTTATGTGACTATAAATTGTTTATAGTGTAATTTGAACCCTTAATTAAGACAAAACTACGACATCTGCATGTGATTTTAAGTGTCTATAGTGTATTTCGAGTGATTCTGGGGAATTTGGCCAATTTTTGATAAATCTGACAGATTTTTGAAGCGCATTTAGCAGAATTTGGGCATGACCTTAGGGTCACCGTGATCGAATGACAAAATCTAAAATGGCCGAAACTGGTCATTGAATAGGGAAAATAATCGCTATGTTTCCCCGACGAAGTACACCAACTTCGTGTGGTGTTTGTCAACGTTAAACTAATAGAAACCTTCGTAAAAACATTGGTTGTTTAGATCCATGGATGTGTTGGACGAAAATGAAGCACTTAAAAGATTTTTTGGTGAGTATGTTTTGTGTGTTGGAATATTTTTTTTTTTTTTTTAGCGCCAGGAACATAGCCTACACCGTTTGGCAATCGTGTAGTGTAGCTAGGGCCCCTTGTTTGTTTTGATCAAATTAGAGTCAAAAATGTTATTTATTGCTCATAAATCACCTTTACAATCAACAGCAGACTTTTCTTAATTCTAAGGGTCATCCTTGCCTTTAGGACCCCGTTCCTATAATAAGGTTAAAGACTGGCGATCGTGAAGTCATGAATGATGAAGACTAAGTGTAGGGCCCCCTGTCATGCCTGTCATGCCTGTTTTGTTTTGATCAAATTAGACTTAGTTTTAGAGTCAAAAATATTTTTTATTGCTCAAAAATCACCTTAACAATCAAAAGCAGACTTTTCTCAATTCTAATGACATCCGTTTTGCAATTTTGAACAGATTCTTGGGGTAGAAATCATGATTTTCCTGCGCGGTTTGTGCCTTGTGATTCAGCGCGCCGTGCGTGCTCACGGTATAGTCGGATTCCCTATTATCGCGACATCCCTATTATCGCGGCATAGGAAATTTCTCTTTTTGCGTTGCCAAAACTCCTTCAAGTGGCGATTTTTATCCAGTTCACCAGTCATCGAGGATTTTTTGCCAAGATGTATAAAAAGGACGATTAAAAAATGTTGTGTCTTTCGGGACTTTTAGCGATTTTTAATAAATATTAACGTTTTCCAAAACTTGCAAATTTTCCCTCACCGTGTCTGCTAAAAGGTACCGTTTATATTTTAACATTAATCTTTAATTGTACTCTGTCCATGAAAGTTCCATTGTCTGGCTTCCATTCTTCAGCTGCAAATGTAAAATGAAGTCGAACGACGATATTTGCAGCGCGAAATCGTAACAACTTTTACGGGATCCAAATAAGCACCGCGCGTTTGCAAAAATAAAACAGCACACCGTGTAAAGTGAATGGCGCCCTCAATCGCCTATCAGTAGACTTGCCTCAGGAATTTGCTTTCTCCTTTCGGGGGAAGGGCAGGGTCTTAAGAAATCATCCTGCAGAAATATAGTCTGTAATCAACTTGAACGTTACAGGGAAAATATCAGACTTTATTCAGGGGATGTTTTGGTCAAACATTAAATATGAATAAAAAAGTTCGGATCATTATAAAACCCACTTCCTTTACTTTACTTTATTCCACCTCATGGTACAATGCAAAAATATAAAAAGGATTCTTCAAAATAAATTAGGTATGTCAAAACAAATAAGATAAGAAATAATGTACTAGTAATTAATACCAAGAGGTGCAGGGGACCCACAAAAAGCAAGCTTGTCGAGTGCGAGTCCCCTGACCGCAAGAGTCCCGTATACCACAAGAAACTGTTCAAAATTGCAAAACAGTATTAGAATTGAGAAAAGTACAACTGCTACATAAAGTCGCGGGCAAAGATCGATAGTCGCGGCGCAACCGCTAGTCGCGACATAATGACTAGTCGACTATTTAGAAATTGATAGTTGTGACAACCGATGCTTTTTAGCATTGTCGACTAGTGGGACTAGTCGTACACGCCTAGCGTGGCACTAGAGGAAAAAAATCAATTAGGGGCCACACCACATTAGGAGTCGTCACTCGTCAACAATAATTCATCGTCATTTTGTCATTTTCCCATTTTCCCACAGCCATTGAGTCTCCCGAGGAGCTCAACTTCGAGCAGCTAGAGCAGTTCATTACAGAAGACGAGCAGGACTTGTAAGTAGATGGGCAAATAAGTGGGGGGGGGGGGGGGGGGGGGTGTGAGCAACGTTACACCTCAACTAGACTAGTGGTGGGTATTTATGGATAGTTAAAACACGGGTATCTAGATACCCGTAAAAGACAGTCTTATCAAAACTGAAGGTGTCTGAAGGTCTTTATAAATTGCAACTTTCGTGAGCGTCATCTGTCGCGCATTAAAATGCACGGAAAAATGTCCATATACGAAGTTCACTCAACACCCTGTGTACAAACCCTATGAGATTGGACTGAAAAATTCTAAGTGTTTTCTAAGAAAATGCTTGTATTTTCTCACTGCTCAAATTGACTTTGATGACATGAATTTGCTATCTGGGGGATTGTTAGTCAATACAGAGGAAAATTAGTGAACTTCGTATATATATGGAAATCTTTCCAAATGCACATCAACATGAAGTCTGTTTTTGGATTTCCATGTACATGTAGACTGGTTGTCATTTTGAAAATCCCCACAAATGGCAATGTTCCAAACTTTTTATGATCCCATAATCTGGAACCCTTTCCTGACATCAGCGGTCGGATACTCGGGTACCCGGTGCCGATGCACAGCTCTAAACTACATGTAGTCCATTTGTCCAAACTTACATGTAAGTTGGGGAGGTCCCTTTAAATTGTGTTAAAGTTTTAATTTTTAAATTAAATTTTTTTTGGGGGGGGGGGTGGGGGTGTTGGTACATAATGTACAATGTACGTGTATTTGTATTTGTGTCTTCTAGGAACACATTTTTTGTCCCCCCTCCCCACCCTTGGGGTTGGGATCATGATGCTTGCAGCATACAAATACAGCATGGTGGTTTGAGAGGTACATGTACATGTAGTGTACATGTGTATACATGTATGTAGTGCAAAATTCGCAGCTAGGGAGGTTCTCAAGACGTAACACTCTTAAAGGGAATGTACAACATTTGCTTTTGCTTCAATTTTCAGAAACAAATGGATTTGGAGGATTAGTATGTTATAGCAAATATTGTTAAAATGACTTGTTTCACGTTTTGGGCTTGTAGATGCTGGAAAACCAAGAAAATCATTCATTTTCTTGTACATGTAGTCTGGTTCCCTGACCCCACTTAAGATGAAACGGAGAATTTATAGACTTTGGGGGAATTGTAAGTTCAGAGAATCAGTCTAGCAGGCTTGTACCCCTTCACAGGTGTGTAATCAATTGCAAATAGTTTTTGCAGCAAAGAGTTTGCAAGCAGTTTTTGAAAAAAGCCAGTTTTCTCCAACGCTGGTCGGCCGACCAGCGTTGGAAAAATACCATTTTTCTTGAAAATGTTGGCACACCAGGAGCCACGATTTTACAGGATGCTTTTAGACTGTCATTCCCTAACAATCCAGTAAGGTATTTTGTGATAATTTGATCATTTCGTTTTGAGATGTTTGCAAATGTTGTACATGTATCTTCCCTTTAAAGCAACATAGCCTATCAAAACTGGCACACTTCATACCTATACATAGTATACATACATGTTCATATTATTTACCATGACGAAGAACATGTAAACAGTAAGAATGTGACTTTGCGTTTAATTGTGTAAACGTTTAGCAAATATTTTAAGAACTGTTTAAACGTTTAGCCATTCACAAAGGTTGATGCACGCTCATCATGTCTGCAGACAGGCGTCATGGACATGATAAATCAGCAGTGACAGTCATTGAAAAAGTAAAAACTTAACTCTATGTGCCCCGAATGTAATCAAAAGTACAGTATTAAAGTGCTTCAAAGGCTTTGTAATAAGGTTTGAAAATATCGTTATGTATTTGTGCTATGTACATGTAGCTCAGTCCTTCTGATTTGAGGCGTGCGATCACACCCCCACGCCATTGCACGCCTAAAAGCTTCCCGAGAAGTGTGAATAATTGCACGCCTGAATTTCCCTGGACCACAGAATCACACACCTAGAAAACCACACGCCTGGAAAAACCACACACCTAGAAAAATCCAGGTGTGCGTTTTTCCACACGCCTGTGATTTTCAAATCATCAGGACAGATGTAGGTTTAACTCAAAGAAAGACTGCATGAACATACATATACGTGTATACGATCTGTTTTTTATAATTCAGGTATCAGGTTTCATTTAAACATTTTTGGAAAATGTGTCAATGAATTTAAAGTTATTTTCTTTTAAACGTTTAAACATGTAGGCCTAAATGTCACATCCTCAGTAAACAGTACAAAAAATGTAATATGGACACGGCCCAAAACTCAAAAGTACAGTGAAATCTCGATAAGTCAAACTCTGATTAACTCAAAACAACTTTTAAGTCAAATAAAGAATTCATTCCCTTCAGTAGTATAGCAATGTACAACCTTGCTTAACTGAAAACTCTGCTGAAGTCAAATTTTGAACCTGCTCCCTTGAGGTTTGACTTGTCCAGATTTCACTGTACTGGTATGTACAATGTATGTTAATGTACATGAACATGCATTTCTGGCAACTTCGGACTGTAAACAAACCGGTATGGGTAGTTGGGCATACATGTACATGTACATGTGTGTATACTCAACAGTACTGTCGAAGTACATGTACAATGTACCGTACATGTACATGTACAGTCGACTCTCGTTAGTACAAACTCTGTTAATACAAAATTCTGGTTATAACAAACATAAAGCCTTGGTCCCAACTGTGCATTTATGTGCACAATGAATGGGACTGATGTTCCTCTTAATCCAAAATTCTGATATAACAAACAATTTGGCTAGGTCCGAACGAGTTTGTATTAACGAGACTCGACTGTAGCCTACTAATTGTAAGCATACATGTTCAAATGTTCATGTAATGTACATGTGCAGTGCTTTGCTATGGCACCGGTACAATGAGCATGGATTTGTACTTGTACATTTCCAATTGTATGGTAACAATGGCATTGCACAACAAGACGTACAATTGTGCGTTTAACTCAACCATTTTTACAAATAAAGGGGTTCAAACAACCAAGGGGTGGGACTCCATTGTGTGACATGTTTAGAGGGATGAAGGTCACAGAATTGAGTGAGGGTTTAGGTACGTCGTCATCGAGTGAGAAGTTTATTTTGTTGAGTATCTGTACACATGCACTTCGATCTCTGTAGTGTATGGTCAGTTTTGCCCGGAATTTTCCCATTGTTACATGTATACATGTACATTTTGTACTATTATGCACACATTACATGGCATGCATGTGTGGTACATTGTGTGAACATGTACCAGGTTGCGCCTGGTAGTACGAAATGTACATGTACATGTATACTGTACACTTTTACAGGGTCCTACATGTACATGTACATAAATACATGTAATGTACATGTACATGTACCGGTACATAAAGTCCTATACACAAGAAATGAAGAATGTTGCGTTTTTTTTGTAAATTGTGAGCGTATGTGTACCTGGTACATGTACATGTACGTGTGAGCACGTGTGGTTCATGTACATTTGTACAATGTAATGTACATACAGGTACATGTACAAATGTACATGTTCTGCATATTACTTGCACTGTGCTTCCACATACATACATGTATACACATGTACGTACCGGTACATGTACACATACTACTGTACATTTTCAGCCTCAGTGTTGTTACCAAGTTATTTTTCACAAGTCAAGTCATGTCACATGTCAGTTTTTCCCAAGTCAAGTCACAAGTCTCAAGTCAGAAGCTACATGTACTAGTCTAATGTATGTGTGCGTCGTGTCATGCATACTGTAGGGAGAATTTAAAAATAAAATTTGGAATTTTAAAATTTGCTCTCTCCAACACCTTAATTGCATTTAGAAATAAGTCTGAAAATGTGATTAAATATCTGCAGACTCAATTAAGTGTTAAATATTTTGAAGGATGTTTGCCAAGCATTTTGTGGAATAGGAAGAATTCCTGCTATGCTTCAATTCTATATCGCAGAATGACATATTAGAAGTTGTTTCCCAGTCGTTTTAAGATGATGTCGCTTCCTCAATGCTTCGATACACTGATCAGTAATGTGCAGCATGGCAATGTGGTGCCTTGTTACATAACTGTAATAGCACTGATCTAATTAGCCCTAACCCTGCTATATGCCACAGAATGCACCAGTTGTAAAAAGTTGTTTCTACAGTACACTGTAGTTGTTGCATTTAGCAGTGTCCTGAGCTGCATACATTCCATGCCTGCATTGCGTTGCATTTGGCAGGGTAGGTAAAAATGGTACCAAGGCTGGCACTGCATTCTGTTGCATTTGGCAGGGTGCCTAGAGAATACCCCATGGGGGTAAGGGTTAATTATAGCATTAAACAGGCATGCACACCCTGGTCTCATACCTCGACGATACATGTACAGTGTATACATGTACATGCAGGACGCCTAGCATTGTACTTTGCATTCTTTTCAACTTTTGAGTGCGCCTGAAACTTTGTGTTCATTTAATAAAAGTGTTAATGTCAGCAAGTCAAATTTATTCAAGTCGAGTCAGGTCACAAGTCATGTATGTTTCCAAGTCAAGTCACAAGTCATTTTTTTCCAATTCAAGTCAAGCCCCAAGTAAAAAAAACCCAGCAACTCGAGTAAGACTTGAGTCCGAGTCAGTGACTCAAGTCAATTAACAACACTGGACAGCCAATATTTGTACCTACTGTAGTGTAGTCATTAACATGTGCAAGCGTCTTTAGGCTTTAAATTATCAATAGCATCATTTTGCTTTGCTGCCTCTCTAGGCTAGTTCAGTCTGCATATTTACTAGCCCACATCTGCGTACCGGTACATGTAATTTGTAAACATGTGTGTACCTGTACATGTACATGTAGTTCTACCAAAAATGTAAATTAAAGTTTTTCATAAGAAATCACACTTCCATACATTGTACATGTACATACATGTGTGTATGTATGCATTCACAAGTTTCACAAGCCCATGAAGCAGTTACTGATTTTACAAAGTTCTACCGGTACAATGTACATGTACGTGTAGGTTGCTCAAAAATTGAGGTGCGTACAAATGTGTACATGTAATCGTATAAATGCGTTTAATGTATGTCACGCGTTGTACGATTCTTACTTGCAGTGCCCTGCAAGGGCACCAGGATGGTGTCCCAGCGGGGCAAGGCTTGGTTCCGGGCGTGACCCAGGGCGTGGCCCAGGCCCAGGCCCCGCCCGCCAACCAACCCCAGCCAGCCACCCTCAGCACTGCCAACCAACCCGTGACCGCTAGCCGGCCCATCGTGGCAAAGAGCGCCCACGCTCCCCTGACACATACCCAGATTATCTACGATGACCGACAGTACAGCGCACATCTCCCCCTTGGGTAAGTCTCCATTGACCTTGTTCTTGACTGATTGGGGGCGCTGTAATGACGGCCACTTTAGGAGTATAGTTTTACATTTTTGCTACCGGTTCTATTAAAAAAACATTTTACTTTAATTTTTAGATTTGTGCAGAGGTACTAATTAACCCTAACGATCCCCAATCAGCCAAACTCCAACGCCAGGGGTTGTTGGAATCTGTTAGGATGAGTACTGGACTAAACTGACTGCTTCATGTAGCATTAGGCATACCACAGATAAACAGAGTCTAAAAGATGGAATTTTTGCGTCGGGGTGATATAAATCACATTATAGGTTTTGCCCTTCACCGACGTTTAAACACTGTATACTCAGTGTGTTACCTCCCGAGTGAAGGTTGGAAAAAATCACTCGGGTGGGACTCGAACCCACGACCTCCTGCTCTCTAGTGCAGATGTCTTACCACTCGACCACCGAGCTAACAGGATTGGTTGGCTGGTTCGAATCTGATGTACATAGCAGCGGGTACGGCATAAACCAGTCCAACTGTTTATGTGCACAGTTTACCATATGGTGTTGGGATTTGCAAGGATGAGGAAGGTTCCTAGTACATCACCCTAGGGAGTGAGAGTTAATCGTGTCAAACAGCAGACCACGTCCACACATTTTGGAGATGAATTTTGTTTTGATTTTGTTGCAGCAGTTTGCCAGATTCACCACCTGATTCGGGTTCAGAGCCTTATTCCCCTCCCGAGGCTAAGCCCCAAGCTTTAATGGGTTCCCCAGGGGTTACCAGCCCGATTCTGAACCGGTCCCCAGTCCAGCCGTATCCCCAGCCCCAGCCCCAGCCCCAACAGGCCCAGGGAGTTCTCGGGGACTTGGGTCAAGCCGCCGTGGGCTTAGACCAGGTGGACCTCCAAGACCAAATGGCTCAACTCAGCGACTACCTCAACAGCAGCGCCGCCATGCTGGACCTGGGCAGCATCCCCTCCATGGAGGCGCAACAAGGGGTGACTCAAGGGGTCATACAAGGAGACAGCGACATCATCGGGATGCTGGCGGGCGAGGTACCCCAGGAGGGCCTGGTGGGCATGGGTGGGGCCGTAGAGGGGGGTCTGTTACCTGCCCCCGCGGTGCCCACCGACCATCAGGCCGGGATGCAAATGGGGAGCCTCCCGCAGACGGACTTGCAGAGGCGAGAAAGGTTAGCCGTAGCCGTGTCAAAATTACTGGCTACATCTTGCTATTACACATGAGACTATGCAAGTGGCTGAATCCACTTCCCATAGACACATGTGCTATTGCAAACCATAGGCGAGTAATTTGTTCACAGCCGTAGCTCTCTTTTCTTTAATCATGTTAAACCCTGGTGGTTTTTTGTAGAACATTGTCAGGAGTATACAGCTATACAAGCTTACTTCGGTTGGTCATGAACAAAAAACTGCTCTGAAACTTACATTGTTGTAGGGAAAACTTACTAAAACTGATATCAAATTAAAATGGGAGCCTGACATGCTTTTTTTCTCTAATAGTTACATGAAAATGAATAAGTAAATAAGGAAATGAAAAGTGTCCATCAGACTCACTTTGTGGGAATTAGCCACATATTTGTCCCTGCTACATTTTCCTGCATGTTAAAACTTTTATTATGATTGTTTTTTTTTCGTTGCAGTATACTGACACATCAGGCCAAGAAGCGGAAACACTCGCTAACTCCAGAGAACAGCATCAGGAGAAATTCAGAGTCGCCTTTAGAGATACAGATCAAACAGGAACCTGGTGAGTAGCAGTGGTGTGACATATCATGCCGAAGCCCTGTGAGTGCCAATGCCGTTAACATACGTGTATCTGAAATCTGGCCAATTCCTAATCGGACAAGTTCTCAATTGGGTACGTTTCCCAATCAGGCATTTTTTTCTTTACGACTACAAGTCGAGCAAGAGCCTGAAGTGTATCAATGGTGTAACGGATCTGAAATTGGGTTAATTCCTTATTGGGCTCGTTTCAAGTTGGTCATGTTCCCAGTTGGGCAGTACTGTCTACGATGGAGGATTTTTGAGGACTGAAGATTGGTAAACAATGGCTAATATTTAATTTTTATTACATTTCTTTTCATTAGGCACTGAGCCCTGTGACGTAGAACTAGGAGTGGATAATGGTATGTATTTGTGTTTTCATTTTCTTAATTAACCTTTAGTCTCTAGGCCTTTTTTGCTGGGACGTAGCCTTAATCCTGCAATATCCTCCAATTGACCTCATGAGAAAATATCACCTCAATCCTGCAAATTCCTCCATTATTTCTTCAATATGGTCTGTGAAGGGGTGACCACTGCCTGAATCCTGCAAAATCCTGCGGCAGTGACTGTCAATATGTTGAGGCTTGGCCAGTGACATCCTGGAGCAGTACGAAGGATTTCAAGCATAATACAGGCCTATTTATGCATGGCTGAGCAAAAACAACACATGGTCCGGCCCAAGGCCTTGACAAAGTGCATCCTACAAAATCAGTAACGCACTTTTGCCATGTAACCTCAATTCTCCACTTTGGCAAAGAGGATTTTGAAGGATTCAGGGCGGTTAGGGTTAATTAATTAATGTTCAATCATCAAACATTTTTATCAGGCTACTCTTCCACATAGTTCAACTTAGGAGCTGTGACCATAGTTATTTTCTTTCCAGAATATGGTATAATTTTTAGACCACAATATCAATCTCTGTGTTGTAATTTGCATATTATCGTTAAATAGTCGATAGTTTTCATTATTGTTCAAATGACTTGCCTTGTTAAAGTAACATGTAACATATGCATGTAATGTGCATTGCGATTTGAATATTGCTCATGTCATGAATATTCATTTTCTTCTATACAACCATTTTCATTGACCAAGTAGTAGTTGTATGCAGTAATAATACCAGGCATTGCAATTTAAATATTGCTCATGAATATTCATTTTCTGTTATGCAGCCATGTTCATTGACCAAGAGTATGAATATGCAGCAGGGGATGGCATGGCCTACACAGACACACCCTACCAATTCATCAAGTGGCTTCCCTATCAGAACAACAAGTGGCACCCCCTTGTGGATGCCGCTGGCCAAGAATTGTAAGTTTCTGTTTCGAGGGCCTCATTTTTATATACAAAGCTGCTCGATGGTTTATTATTTTATGCTTGGAGAAAATGTGTTTAGAACATTCTGCACACTGCATGCGCACGCACCTGATGGCGTTGAACACGCAGTTGTAATTGTCGTACGAAGATGGCGTCCTATGAGAGAGATCTACATGTACTTAACTGTGAGGCGCTTTGAGACATATATAAGCATTATGTTATTATTTTATTGCTCATCATGTGTTATAATTTTATTGCTCATCAGACCACTTGTCACATATCGCGTGGAGGCCGACAAAGGATTCAACTTCTCCGTCGTTGACGACGCTTTCGTGTGCCAGAAAAAGAACCATTTCCAGGTCAGTTTTCCAGCCCAAATACAGTCGTATTGCAGGCATGCAACGTCCGCTGATTTCCTTGTTTTTTTTACTTCTCATGAATGCCGTTACAAATTGAAAAGTACTGTACAAATTCTTGTATGGTTTGGAATTTCCTCGTTTTTTCTAAATTCCCAGTTGCATGCCTGGTATTGGTTCTGTAAGGTAATGTTTTTGTGCAGCAAACACCGCCCCCTGTAGTTCATGCATTGACAGGATACATGTGTAACCATTTGCTACCATTCACGAGAGCCCCAGTCAATTTCATTGGGTTAAACCCATAGAGCTATACGATATTGCTGTGAGAGATAACTCACCATACACAATGCAGCCTGCTGGGTGCATCCATGTTAGTGTGCTAACCTATGGCAAGTTCGTACGGCTTTTAAAAGACTATCTGCAAATCTGTGTTTGTACTTGAAACTGATGTCTAACTGAAGCTGATACGCCTAAAACTAAAACGCACAATGAGTGCATAAGCATACCATTTTGCTCTGGGCAAATAACGCACATGTGCACAAATGCGCTTCCAATGATTACATGTATGTCATCATACTTAAGAAACAGAGCTCACCGGTGAAATTTTATTCAGTCTGATTGCAATATGTTCTGCGATTATGCACATTCGTTCATAATATGTTTGAAAGTATTCTAGTTTTAATAACCCTAACCCCCTAGGCCCTTTTTGCTAGGTACCATCCTCAGTCCTCCAAAATCCTGCACTTTACTTCAAATGTGTTCAAATGAAAGATACCCACTGCCTCAATCCTTCAAAATCCTCCTCTTCTTCAAACACCATTCAGCCTCAATCCTTCAAAATCAACTGATAATGAATGTCCATGTGCCCCTAATCCTCCAAAATTGTATATTGCATTCAGCCTCAATCCTCCAAAATCCTCCAAAACCGCCTGGAGGACTTTGGAGGATTGAGGAGGGTGAGGGTTAAGGGAAAGAGGAGTAATGGGTTAACTTAGTTGGTTAAAAAGAACCTTGTCACTTCCCCCTTGTGGCTTATTCAGTGACCTTATATTTTGTTTTTGTTTTTTTCGCACTCCATAGGTAACCTGCCATGTCGGCATCAATGGCCCGGCTAAGTATGTCAAGACAGAGAATGGGCTGAAGGCAGTGGACAGCTACCAGATCCACCTGCACGGCATCAAGGTGGAAGCGCTCAACTCCTACATCCGAGTTGAGCAGTCCCAGGCCAACAGGAGCAAGAGACCCTTCCAACCGGTCAAGTGAGAAGCAAACAGATTTTGCTTTTAAGCTTCCTATCAATTTATAGCAGACATCGTTCCACTGACCTTGGCCCAATTTCACCGCGCTGCTAAGCACAAAAACTTGCTAAGCACAAGTCTGGCTTATAAAAGCAGGTTATCAGCCAAAACTCCATGTGATTTTCGTGCTCAGCAAACAACAGCCGAATACTAATCACGAGCAATATACATCACATGGAGTTTTGGCTGGTAACCTGTTTTATAAGCCAGACTTTTTGTACTAAAGCAAATGTTTACACTTAGCAGCGCCATGAAATTGGCCCCTGTTCAATGGTTTGTGTCCATTATGCTGTGAACCCCTACCCCCCCCCAAATCTCAAGTCAATTTCTGTGTTCAAGTTTAAAACAAGTTAAAAAATATAATTCTTTTTAATGGTCCCTTTTTTTTAGGATCGACGTCCGCTCAGACCAGATCACCAAAGTCACCATCGGCAGACTGCACTACAGCGAGACGACATCCAACAACATGCGCAAGAAGGGCAAGCCCAACCCAGACCAGCGCTTCTTCATGCTGGTGGTGGCCGTACACGCACACTGCGGGGACCAGAACTACACACTGGCAGCGCACGTCTCGGAGAGAATCATCGTCAGAGTGAGTTTGCTGGACTGAGTTTCTTCTAAGAGCTGCTATATCAGCTGGGAACCGGTCCGAATTCAATATGCATTGTATAACATTTTTTAGCTGGTAACCGGTTCAGTGTCCAATTTCGTAGATCACATTAGGGGGCTGTGGTCCAATGGTTACGGTGTTCGACTAGCGTGCCGCTGTACGCGGGTTCGAATTCTGACGGGGAACATGGTGCTTGTGCTCTTGAGCAAGGCACCTTACCATTATTGCTCCGTCCTTCAGGTGGGACGTAAAGCCGTAGGTCCCATGTGTTGTGTAATGCACGTTAAAGAACCCAGTAACACTTATTGCTAAGATTAAGGGGTTTGCCCCGGTGTTTCTGGCAGTGGCTGCAATATGTGCTATAGCACCTTGTATACCCTTTATAAAAGGTGCTACATCATGGGTCTCATATTTCTCTTAAACTTCATTTACCTGTCTTCCAAAAATAGACATATTTACCAGCGCCTTGAGTACCTAATTGTTGGTAGATATGTGGGCTATATAACATGTATAAGACTCCGGTATTATTATATTATTATTAAGCACATGCTCTCCGTGCTTTCATGATTATTTGCGAAAGGATAACTTTGACTCAAAGAGTTTTTGAATCTCTCCCCAGGCCTCCAATCCTGGTCAGTTTGAGAACGACGTGGACGTCATGTGGCAGAAAGGACAGACACAAGACTCAATATATCATGCGGTAAAACAATATTCCCCCACCTCTACTGTAATCCTTACCAGTCAATATATGAATATTGAATTTTTGGTCACTTAATAGTAAGTTTATGAAGGCATGCACTAATACACTCTTTCCAGTCAATATAAGAATATTAAATTCATTGGTTATTTCAAGGATGATTATATTTGTGTAGGCATGCACTAGTGCCCCCACAGCCAGGCAGTATATGAATATTGATTTTGGTGGTCATGAATAGTTAAGCTCATGAAGGCATGTAATAGTGCCCCCTTTGCCAGTCAATATATGAATATTGAATTTGTTGGTCACTTACTTGCAAGTTCATGTATGCATGTACTAGTGCCCCCATTGCCAGTCAATATATATGAATATTTAATTTGTTGGTCACTTGTACGTTCATGAATATATGTACTAGTGCCCCCATTTCCCAGTCAATATATATGAATATTGAATTTGTTGATCACTGTAAGTTCTTGAATACATGTACTAGTGCCCCCATTGCCAGTCGGTATGTGAATATTGAATTTGTTGGTAACTGAATTGTAAATTCATGAAAGAAAGTACTATTTCCACCATTTGTAGTCAATATTGTATTTGTTGGTCACTTAATTGTTAGTTAATTCACATAGGCTGCACTAGTGCCCCCTTTGCAGGCAGCATATGAATGCTTAGTAGTTTGCTTTAATAATATAGGCATGTAATATTTCCCCCAATGCAGGCAATATAAATATTGAATTTCTTTGGTAAACTACCAGTAATTCATATATGGATGTACTAGTGCCCTCATTGCCAGTCAATACATGACTATTAATTTTTCGACTTTTATATATGACCATTTCATTAATTTCAGTCAATTGTTCACCTCAAAAAACAAAAGTGCCCTCATTGCAGTCAATATGAGAATGTTTTTCATTTTGGTCACAAGTCTTTGCACCATTTCTTTTCTAATTGTCTCTTTCTCCTTTGCGCACTGTTTAGGGTCGCATTGGCATTAACACGGACAGACCAGACGAGGCTCTGGTTGTCCACGGCAACGTACGCATCACAGGTCACTTGATGCAACCCTCCGATGCCAGGGCCAAGGAGAACATTGAGGAGGTGAATAAGTCTGAAACTGAGCCATCGTTTTTTTCTTTTAAGGCTCTGGCTTTGACCATCGCCAATGACACACTACACCGTTTTTTCATAGCCGCACAGGAAATCACCTGTTCCTGATGTAGGCGTAGGCTTTGAAGTAGGTGTTCCATTGAAATTCAGGCGTGTATTTAAAGCAGGTTCTAATTTCATGGAACAGCTCAGCGGAAAATTTTGCTCAGAAAATATTCAAATGCTATTAACCCTAACCCTCCAGGGTATTTTGGTTAGAAACCTTGCCAAAGGCAGCAACATGCAAGTGACAAGCCTGCTCAGTGCAGCAAGATCCATCAGGTTAAAAGTCTCAAGGCCAAACTGCCTCAGAGTCTGTGGTGCCCTGAACGCAGCAGGATACAACTGCGGCATTGTTCAATGGGACTAGCTCTCATTGTCTCAGAAGTGGTCATCTATGCATTAACCCTAACCCACCTCACTCCTCCAAAATCATCCTGGCGTTTTTGGAGGATTCTAGAGGATTGAGGATGAATGGTGATTGAATCAAATGAGGATTCTGGAGGATTGAGGATGAAGGGTGATTGAAGCACATGAGGATTTTGGAGGATTGAGGATGAATGGTGAATGAAGCACAAGAGGATTTTGGAGGATTGAGGATGAATGCATTTTGAGGCAGGACTGTCTGATGATTTTGAAGGATTTGGCGTTGGTTATCCTTCATTTAAACACGAGTGCAAAGTTTTGGGATGAGGAGGATTTTGGAGGATTGAGGATGAATGCATTTTGAGGCAGGACTGTCTGACAATTTTGAAAAATGTAGGCGGAGTTGAAAAATTTTGGAGGATTTTGGAGGATTGAGGATGGTTGTAAGCAACAAGGGCCTAGGGGGTTAGGGTTAAAGTGCACCAGACTTATCCACCTGATGCACTGTGTTGCCTCTGGCTAGGTTTAAGCTAAATGTTAACATGTTGCGTGAAAGCCAGCTGAAAAACTTTATTCTTAGAAGTGGTCACAAAATGGATGCCTCCTGCGGTCTCTGAAATTGCATATGGTAACGCTGTTCCCCAAAAAAGGGACTCAAAATGGATACAGCTTCTAATTCTGGTCGCCGGATTCCACTACATGTACATGTGCTTAGCGAAGATCAGCTGAGTACCAGTCATGAACAGTGTAAATTGCATGACATTTTAGCTGGTAACTTGTCTTTGCTCAGCATATATTTTCTGTGCTGAGCAGATTTTTGAATTATTATCCTTTGATTTGCACTCTAGGTTGACCCTAAGGAGCAACTGAAGAACATTGGCAAAGTGCGCATCGTGCGATACAACTACATCCCGGAGTTTGCTGAGCAGGCGGGCCTACCAGAATGCGACCAGATTGAGACTGGCGTCATAGCCCAGGAAGTGCAGGACGTCATTCCTGATGCAGTCAACGAGACAGGTAACCTGACTTCAAAATTATGGACTCTGCACACAAGTAACCCCTCAATTATTAGTATTAAGAGACTCTTGATCACATTGCCGCCACGCCTGATGCTCATGCAGACGCTACGGGTTGGCGCACATGCACATTGTGTATTAAATGTATTCTTTGCGCTATACGTACGCACGCATGCAAACGTGTGTTCACCGTCGATCGTGGACGTCCTATTGTCCCTCTTTTGTTTGTACTCTAACTTTTTAGGAAGACTCCCATTGGTTTTGTACATGACCCCAATCGTGGACGTATGTTAGGAATCATGGAGGATATTGTTCTCTTTTGTTCTCTGGTATTTTTCATCCACGGTTTGAAAAGATGAACATGTACGATCCAGTTTGTTAATGCAGTGCGTCCCTCCTTCTGGAACTCTGGGGAGTGGTGACAAAGCATCATCTGCTGTTCATGCATGGAGTCCACAGAGCTGAAAACAAGGAAAATCAAAATCGTTTCAATATTTGACTCAGACATTTTATCAAGATTTTATCTTGTCCTACTTTCATGATTCGTTTGTATTTGTTCCTGTATTTAGGCGACGTCCAACTACCCAACGGCAGCAGCATCGACAACTTCTTGACAGTCAACAAGGACCGCATCTACATGGAGAACGTGGGCGCAGTCAAGGAGCTGTGCCGACTGACGGACAACCTGGAGACTCGCATCGATGAGTTGGAGAAGATGAACCGCAGGCTGGCCAAGCTGAAGCGGCTGGACAGCTTCAAGTCCACGTCGAGCAGTGGGACATTCAGGTAGGAGAGTTTGGATAAGGATCTGAGATCTCTTAAAGTCTTACAGGGAATCTAACAAGGCCTTGTCATACAGGGGTGGGCTGGGTAAGGCCGGACAGGTGTTTTGGGATCGGTGAATTTACCAGATTGACAGTAACTGCTGGCCAACGCCAATTTGGCATCTAGCTGGGGGACATTAAGGTACAAGTCGGAAACTTTGGATTAGGGTCTAGGATCTCCCAGAGTGTGGCAAGGAATCTAGCAAGGCCTTGTCATACAGGGTTGGGACGTTTTTTGGGGGATTGGGGAATTTACCAGACTGACGGTAACTGCTGACCAACGTCAAAGTGGCATCTAGCTGTGAGACATCTAGGTACAAGACTTTGGAGACTTTGGATTAGGGTCTACAATGTAGGGTCTCCCAGAGTGTGGCAAGGAATCTAACAAGGCCTCATCATGCAGGGGTGGGGTGGGTGTGGCGGGTCAGGTGTTTTGGGATTGGAGAATCTGCCAGATTGAAGGTAACTGCTGGCCAACATCAAAGTGGCATCTAGCTGTGAGACGTCTAGGTACAAGACTTTGGAGACTTTGGATTAGGGTCTACAATGTAGGGTCTCCCAGAGTGTGGCAAGGAATCTAACAAGGCCTCATCATGCAGGGGTGGGGTAGGTGTGGCGGGTCAGGTGTTTTGGGATTGGAGAATCTGCCAGATTGAAGGTAACTGCTGGCCAGTTTCAACGTGAAAACTGGCTTCGGGACATTCAGGTTCACGACTTTGGAAACTTTGGATTAGGCCCCCCAAAAAAGTCTCCGGTTTCTGGTATGCGCGCGCGTCGCCGTAGCCATGCGCGTCGGCAAAATGAAAAAGTTTTTTTTTCAATACAAGATGATGTTTCAAAACCGCCAAACTCACTGGTTTGACTGGAATTCTGCTGCTGCACAATTTTAACGTGTTTTTAGATGGGGTTATGATCGAGAATAAGATTTATGTGGCCTCTCTGGACTCCCATATATTTGCACTAAGTTTAGTCGGGCACCATTTGCAGTCATCAGCCGACATTTGAAGGAAAAAAAAAAAAAAAACAGGTAAAAAAAAAAAAAAAGCCGCGTCGCCGCACCACTTTTGGGGCAAGCTCCATACCAGAAACCGGAGACTTTTTTTTTTTGGCCTTAGGGTCCAACGGTTCAGGCCCTACAAGGGTTGCGTGGGTAAAGTCATGCTTTGCCATAAGAAGCAATGTAGAAACTTAACCCATAAATCGGCTTGGTTTAGATTTGAACCCAGGCCAGAAAATTGGAAGATGGGGGAAACGAACTTAGTACATGTACCCTGCCTGTTGCTCCTTATACTGTCCCCAACTGCCCCAGCATTCTATGGTATTATGTATCAAGAAGTAAATACAGTGTAATACAATGTAATACAAGTGCTGACGAGTCAATATTGTTGTTGTTTATTCTGCTCTTCCTAGTCGTTCTGGCAGCAATCGCTCGGGCGTGGGCTACAGTAAAGGCCACAGGAAGAACAGCGGAGGGGATAGCTGTAAGCGCAAAGCCCAGGAAGAGGACGCGTGTCTGACGCAGCGAGCCATGCGCATCATTATCATCATCCTAGTCTTCATTATGCTCTTCTGGTAAGAAAGAATAAAATTGTGTGTCAAATGAAGAGAGAAAAAAACTGCGCCCAATGGGACATTCCAAGTTTGGCCCAACATTGTAAGCGCCGCCCACTTTTGGTCTGTATACGTTTCTTGCAACGCTTGTGACCGAGTTTGACGGAGCTAGTGTGGTCACCTGACCAAAAGTCATGATCTAATTGGTCCATTTCATGCAGCTGCTAACTGTGGTATTCCACGTTTATGTCCACGAAATACTGAGCTAACCCTGTAGTTACAGAATCCTAGCTCGATGTATTAACTGACACTTTCATTATCATTTTGCTTACGCAGTATTGGATCAATGGTGGCACTGTATCTACTTCAGTTGAGGGAAACTGGCAGGTGAGTTGAACTGGTTTAGCTGATTTTAGTTGTGGTGGGTCTAGTATAGTCTAGTTTATGCTGGCCTAGTCTAGTCTACTCTATGTTGGTTATAATACGCTGCTTTATGTTGAGCCTGGTCTAGCCAAGTTTCATGCTGTAACCGGGTAGGTCCAGGTATGACTGGTTATGTTGGGTCTGGTCTAGTCTGCTCGGTGCTGGTTAGGTCTAACTAAGTTGATTTGAGATAAGTTAGGTTTGCTGTAGTCTGGTCTAGTTAAATAGTGTAACCTGGTTGTATTGGTTATGTCCACTTGTGGCTGGTGACACTGATTTTTAAGTGTGTTAGTCTGGTCTGACCTGGTCTGCAGTGGACTAGTTATAACGCCGGTTATAACTGGTTGGACTCAGCTTAGACTGGTTTATAACGAACTTGAGTTATACCTGCATGTATGTTTGGTGTGCCTAGTCAACATTTATTTGCTAGTTATAGCTGGTTATATCAAGCTATCAGCAATGTATACTGAGTTCAGTCAAGTTGTTGGTTTATGCATGTGGGTACGTGTTCTACATAACCCCTGAGGACAGACACACAAAGGGAGAACAACAGATCCTTTCAGTCATCGGGAGTTGGGTCTTTTGTTCAAAACGGTCCTCTGTAGTAGGTTTGTGTGCTTCAATGGAAGAGTGTTATATGGACAAGGGGAAACACAATGCATTGTCCTCGGGAGTATAGTAAAACAAGAGTGTGTGTATTTCAATGAGTGAGTTTGAATTTATTTTTCATACAGTGCGCAATCAACCAATCCGTCATTCTCAGAGGGGATTCCGGGTGGACAGAATGGAACAGCAGGGGGCAGCTTTTTCCCGGGAGACTCCACAACTTCAGATTCCTCAGAAACGGGCCGTAAGTACACCAGAGTCAAGTCTGGAAGTTAGTCAGCCCCAAGGCATGATGGGAACTGAGTCCATTCAACGATTCAATATTCCGATATTTGAATGTCCATTTGAGTGAATATTTGACGATATGGAAAGTAAATGATACAATATTCACCTGGGTCTGCTTGAAAGCCTGAATACTGTACAAAAAAATGCATATTTATGAGTTCAATGGTGAGAATATTTTCATGAGTTGAAAGATTGAACGTTCCATTCAACGAGGCGAAGCCGAGTTGAATGAAACATTCCATCTTTCAACTCAAGAAAATATTCTCACCATTGCACGAACGTAAAACGTTCATTATTTGTTTTACATAACGTCCAAGTAGATCTTTGTCATTCAATTGGAGGATAAAACTTTAAGAACAAACAAAACTCACAAAATTGTATCATATCAACTACTTTTTCTCAGGCTAACAATCAAGGTTTAAAAGTCAAATCATTGACAATAATGAAAATTAACATTGTTAGTTCTTAAAACAATGCAAAAAATCATGCTGTAACGCATGCTTTGGTCTAAATAGCGCAAAGATTGTGTAGCCCCAGGCCGCTTCTTGGCGTGCAATCAATCAAAAGTGATGGGACGAAAATGCAGGGTTATGACGTGGGTCATGCAATGGTTCGATTAATGAATGCCGCGTGACCTACAATCCTCCAATCAAATGACAAGGATTTACTTGGGTGTTATATAAATGTATATATTGCATGCAAGTGGTTCTTACCCAAAATGCTAATCTAACACGTTTGGTATTAAAGCAATTTTGTTCTGCCCAGCAGCTCCATGAAAAAGGGCCCAGTTAAAAAGTTTTTGTTTCCTGTAAAATAAGTTGATGAATTTGCTCTTTCTCTTGTTTTCTCCTCGGCAGGTGAAGACATGCCGTTTGAGTCAGTCACTATTGACGATGATTGCAGTGCCCCAGACTGCCACCCAATGTTTTGCTGTAATTTCCCCGGACCTCCTGATCCTGAATCAGTTAAGACGGATCGTTCATCTGAATACGGTGAGTGACGACCCCTCCCGAATCCGAATCGTGAAATTCAAACCAAATTTTAAAAAAAAATCTGAATTCGGGCGATTCACAATGCAGTGCGCCACCAAGAGTTTGCCGCGGAGAGTCAATTTTTAAGTTTACGGTCGACAAAACATGGCCCATTTAAATGAGTGTCAGTAGACAACTTGAGCTAATGTGTTATGGATGGGGCATAGCGTTCTGCCGCCTTACAAAAAACACCATATGATAAAATGAAAAGAAACGGGGCAAACAGATATTCGAATCATACGCTTACGAAACAATAATTTGACCGGAAAAACGAACAATTTCAAATGTCCCGTGCTGCGAATTTGTCGACCATCTCCCACAATGCACGGGGAAAAATGAACTCTGCGTGGCAAACTCTTGCTGGCGCACTGCATTGTGAATCGCCCGAATTGATATCCCACCACCAACCTCATGCCCCGTGGGTACGATCTTGCAGCGCCATGTTGTTTCCCATCATGCCTTGCGCGATCCTAACCCCTGCATTTGTGTAATTTAAATGTACCAAAATACGGTACATTATAATTAGGGTTGCAGTTTATCCGTTTTACGTGCCGACGCCATCTTTAAAATGTTAAAAGTTGTGATTTTGAAGAATCACTCCTTTCAAACACAACGTTTGGACGTTGTGTTAATTAGCAAAGATTTGTATTAAATGTACGTACCCCTTTCGTGCCTTTACAACCACAGATACAGGGTTTTTTTTAGCGAAAAACGCGGCTGACATAATCCATATCGTACAGGCATCGCGACTTTTGAATCATAACTTTTTTTTTCGTACGTGACGTTACGTGCAAAGCTAAACACGCGAGCGCATTATGGGCGCGCTCCGCGTGCAATCTTCGAATGCCCGCGCAGTACGCTGTGAATAGCCATTCAGCGTCATTTACGTCATCATCAAAGCCAGGGGTTAGTGTTAGGAACGAGCACGCGCCCCTGGAGTCGAGGCTGTCCCACCAGTAGACAATTCGGGTGATTCGCAGTGCAGTGTGCTACCAAGAGTCTGCCACTGAGAGTGCATTGTGGGAGATGGTTGACAAATTCGCAGCGCGGAACATTTGAAATTGTTCGTTTTTCCTGTCAGTAGTTTCGTATAAGCGTATGATTTGAGTATCTGTTTGCCCTTTTCTTTTTCTTCTTATGGTGTTATTTGTAAGGCGGCAGACCGCTGTGCCCCAATCTATAACAAATTAGCTCAAGTTGTCTACCGACACCCGTTCAAAAGGGCCATGTTTTGTCGACCGTACACTTGAAAAATGGACTCTCCACGGCAAACTTTGTAGCACACTACATTGTGAAACAACCCAAATTCCTCTCCATTTAAAAAAAAAAACAAGTTTTGCTGATTGTTTACCAAATTAAAGTTGGATATCCATACTTTAATCCCAGACCCATCCAGCAATACCGAGTCCTCCATTCAGGACGTGGGAGAGAGCAGCACTAGTGAGGAGACTACAGTCTCCGAGCGATCTGAATTGCTGGAGCACATGAAGAGACGGGATACCAGATACAAACGGGACAACCTCATGGCCAACCAAGTCACAAACAGTGAGTCATTTCAGAATTGTTTCTTAGCATGTTTAGCAAATTGCTAAGATTAGCTACAAAAAAAATGTAAATCACATGACTCTTAGTCTGTTGTTTTGGTACAAACTAGACTTTGGTACCGGAAACGAACCTACAGATTCAATGAGAAACATGAAAATCCTCTTTTAACAGAACACCCGAGATGGCTGGTTATATTCAGGTTTTTGATCAAGACTGAACCAGGCTTACTGATCTCTCTTATCTCAAGATTTAACTTATCGCAGTTTAACACTTGATGAATGCCTACCACCAGCAGGGAACAATTAGTACCGCTTGACTGAACGACTTGTTAGGCATGCCTGATTCATTCCTCAGAGTCCTAAACGCACATACATTTTTCATAAATTTAAAGGCTATCGAGAGTCGATTGCATTTTCAAAGTATTTTCTAACAAAATTGGAAATGTTTCTCAGTCCCAGCTTCATGTCTTTCCTACATTTTTGTAAAGACTGACCTTCATTGAGACAATATATGGTGAAAAAAGTGCCATCAGGATACAACATTTTTTCCACGAACACTATTATTTTGCAAAGCAACCTGGAGAGTGGTTCATGTGCTGAACATTCTTTAGCATTGCTTTAATGGTACTTTTGTAAAATAAACATCAGAATTATGTTTTTAAAAAATATTTGTAGCTGCGGGTAGCAGCTCAACAAATCATTGTGTCACTTTAGTCCGTTATAGTTAGTAACAAACATTGACATTGTCTATTTCTCCTACATAATTCGACTGATTTCAACCAAACTTTGTCAAAAGTATCAGTAGCCCAGCCCCAACATGTTACAAAACCAAACTGGGGTCAAAGGTCATTATGGGTCAATGGGGTCAAAAACCTGATTTTTTTTTTACACAAAAACACTACTTTTAGAAATTACATGGCACAATCATGTGACTCATGCATGAACATTGGCCCGCAGCTTCCGAGATCCAATGCTTTTTTGGGGGGGTACAGAAAGTATGTGACTCGCGAGTCATGAGTCATTAGTGTCAAGTTGGAGCCACAATGGTCAAGTCTGAGTCCGAGTCTTTTTGCGGATGTAACCCGAGTCGGAGTCTGAGTCACGAAGTTACGACTCCAGACGAGTTCTGGAGTCCGGTACGAGTCCTACAAGTATTGGCTATTGATTTTGTTTTGTTTTCCTACCCGTAGCCTTTCCTGTATCCAGTTTGATGGTGGACAAACTGAACATCATGAACACCACAGTTTGTGTTGAGCCATGTGGGTAAGTGCCTCATGAGAAATTGTCTCTCCTTGTTTGTACTTATACAATTAAGCTGTTGGAGACAGAGTTTTTATTGAGTCAATCACAAGTCAAATCACGAGTCAATCGCAAGTCAAATATTAGTCATCACAAGTCAATCACAAGTCAATCATTAGTCAATCACAAGTCAATCATTAGTCAATTACAAGTCAATCATTAGTCAATCATTAGTCAATTACAAGTTAATCATTAGTCAATCACAAGTTAATCATTAGTCAATCGCAAGTCAAATCACAAGTCAATCACAAGTCAGGTCACAAGTCAATCATTAGTCAAATCACAAGTCAATCATTAGTCAATCATTAGTCAATCACAAGTCGGTCATTAGTCAATCGCAAGTCAATCATTAGTAAATCACAAGTCAATCATTAGTCAAATCACAAGTCAATCATTAGTCAATCATTAGTCAATCACAAGTCAGTCGTTAGTCAGTCCCAAGTCAATCACAAGTCAGGTCACAAGTTATGAATTAAGACTTGTGATCACATCTCACTGCTGGTGATACTTCAAATTAACTTTTTCCTGAGTTTGTCTGTTATTTCCAAATGAAAAATAGAATAAAAAAAGTGAAGCAGTGGATGCCCAAAGTTTAACAGATGCCTTTCCAAACTGTTTCTGAATCAACACTCTCTTAATAATATTGAATTTTTTTTTCCCGTAGGCAAGACGGCAAATACAGCTATCACATATCAGTCCCAGCGTATGTTCCATTCCAGAGCTTCACACTTGAGATCAAGTAAGTCACATGTTGCAAGTAATACAAAATGTACCAGTGCTAAACCCTCCTGCTGTCTGAAAAGTCAGTCAAAATATCCATCCTCTTCCCCTGCCGTGCCTGCTAGTCATGAACAGTCAGATCATATTTCAAGCAAGCACTGTGACTAGTCAAATTCTGTCAACAGGCGAAAGCAAGTAACTGTAGGCACCGCTGGCTTATCAGTCTGGTGTGTGTGGTCTTTCAGCAAAACGAAAACAATTCGCATGCATCCCAATGAGAATTGTTTTTGTTTTGCTGAAAGAAGACTAACTTTTTTTGTGATCTGTGGACGGAACATTAAAACGGTGTTTGTGTTCAAAATTTTGTAACTTGAAAAGTACATGAGTGATTTGAATGTTCTTGTAATAAAAGAAAGCTTATGAATTCGGCTTTCATATCCTAGATTTTGAAAGTGCTGCATGTAGAACTTCACTAAAAACAATGGTCCCGACATTTGGGTTTTGTTTGTTTTTACTCACCCTGTACTGTTCTGTTCATTCACATAATATATCTGATCACATTGTTCTTTTTTAATCGTAGCACAACGGACTCGACCCGAATTTGGCTCTGCATCCCCGACGTCAAAATGCTGTGTCCAGATGCGGAGAATCTCCCCCCTGAAGGACAAAGTCTCCGCGAGGTACGGCTTTTCAAAAAACAAAAATAAAAGACTTTTAAATGTTTACGATATATGTCTCACATAGAAGCACAAGTAGTAGAGACTCATGCCGTGAATCCTCTTATAAGGCCAAAAAAAAAAGTCTCCGGTTTCTGGTATGGAGCTTGCCCAAAAAGTGGTGCGGCGACGCGTTTTTTTTTTTTTTTTACCTGACTTTTTTGCTTCAAATGTCGGCTGATGACTGCAAATGGTGCCCGACTAAATTTAGTGCAAATATATGGGGGTCCAGAGAGGCCACATAAAGCTTATTCTCGATCATAACCCAATCTAAAAACACGTTAAAATTGTGCAGCAGCAGGATTCCAGTCAAACCTGGAAGTTTGGCGGTTTTCAGACATCATCTTTCATTGAAAAAAAAACTTTTTCATTTTGCCGACGCGCATGGCTACGGCGACGCGCGCGCATACCAGAAACAGGAGACTTTTTTTTTTTGGCCTAACAGAAAACCTGAGTTTATTCGGCCATTCGGGTTTTTCCCCGAGCCCCTACCAGGATTTCAACCCTCTCTTATCTCAAGCTGTAATCCCCTCAGGGGAGTTTTACCGGATGAATACCCAACACCAGCAGGGAACAATGAGTATTGCTTGAATGAACGACTTGTGGGCATGCTTATATCTTTCTAAACACATGCGGATTTTTAAAATTTAATAGCCGATGTAACATTTGTTTTTGTCAAGAAATGAAACCATCTTTTATATTTTTGAATCGCTGAAAAAGGGGCATGAACAACGGAAAGCCTGAATAAGCCATTTGCGAGTAACCTACAACCTTTGGGATTTACATTTGAAAACTTCTGGTGCACTGACTTGCTCAGAATGCTTGGCACATTTTAACTTTGAGTTCTCCAGACCAAAGACGCTGTTGCTAATCACATGACTCAGGGCATAGTTACGTAAGAGACGTTCAGCACCGATACATTGTTGACAATGGGTGAGAATGGCACAAAGGCACCAGACCATGTCGGAGCTGGGGGTTGCTAGCATAAGGCTTGCCCGAATCACGTGATATGGTAACAGTCCCTTTGGTCGGGAAAACCCAAATTTAAAATGTGCAAAGCATTGAAGTCAGTGTTACAGATTGTATTCAAATTTAACTCGCAAGTGGATTATTGTGGAATTGTATCTAGATCTATGTCCATACTTGCAGTGTGTATACATAGTGTATGTGTGTCTGTGTGGACTGGTAACCTGTGGCTTGGCCAATTGCCTGAATGGATTAAACAGATAATGTTACAGTGGGGTGGGTAAAAGATAAACAACAACATCTAGGAATTGAAAAGACCCGGTATCTTAATGGCAAAATCACCTAGTGTGAAGCCATATAGGGAAGACAGTGTTAGGTGTTCTAGAAAGGACAACCTGTTGTCGTACATGTTGATCTGTTTTCAAACTTCACAGTTTGATATATTGTACAAGCATTACATTTACTGTGTGGACTTCCGAACAAAAGATGTCCACATAAACCAGGTAGCAGCGACGTTGTGTGGACTTGCCCACGTCCACACAATGTTTCCCCCTCTCTGGAAAACAGGTTTAGAGGCATTTTGGGGTTGGGTTTATCGGTGGCAAAATGAAGAGAAACATGAAGGGAATCATAGAAAAAATTTGGGTTGAAAGAGTTTTCACTGTGCAAGTAAAATGGATTTTTTCATAGGTTTTTCTTAACTACACGAAAACAAAAGAATGTCCACACCAGGTATATAACGTAAGCATGGGTGCTTATGCACTTTACTTCAGATTTTGTGCAATTTTGTTACTTCAGACGGAGAACACTAATGCATAAAAAGCAAATGATCCGATTTGCCTTCAAAACACTGCTTTATCTATTTGTGATTGCAGGGTATAACTCACCGGTGGAGCATTCCGGTTGGCTATTATGTTACTTCCTCCTACACATTCCGAATCACATCCTTGCAAAGCGTAAGTACTAACTTAAAAAAAAAAAATCCAGAAAAAAAACTTTCTTTGTTTAGCCACTAAATGTTGAATTATTGAAATACTGATATCAATTTAGCCAGCCCATGATGTTTTTGGCTAGCGTATGCAATACAATTGTATCTCTCGCGGTTGATTTTCAGCATTTTTTTTTAAGGTTTAAAAGTCTTTTCATTGTAACTTCCGGTCTTGTAATGTCATTAATCTTTCTCCCTCTCAACTTGTTCTTGGCATTAAGCTGATTATATACATCAATTATAAATTGAAACCAGCAATCTTCGCCACATGCAGCGGTAACATTTTTGTAAAGTACAACCTAGCCAGAGACTGGCATCTTTAAAAGCAAGTTCATATGTTTTTCCACTTTCAAATTATAAGGCACTTCCGATTTCAACTGGAAGGAAGGGTCAAATGATTTTGCATGTAATATCACCAATGAAGACCCTGGATTATTCTATCAATTCCCGTAAAAAACACAATCAGATCTTTCACAGTTGGTTATATATTGATTTTTAACAATTAAATCTAGAAATCTTTGGTTGCTTGTAATTTGATACTTGATGACATCATTGTGACGTCATTACCGGAGAGCTCAAGAGCTATGTTAACTGTGCTATTTGAAGCAAAATCTGGATTATATCTGTTGTGGTTGAATTTTTTAGAATTTTTTTAAGGTTTAAAGGTCTTTTCATCGTGACTTCCCGTCTGATGACGTCATCAATTTTGTTTTCGCACACAGGTCTTGTCTTCGTAAAGGTCATCATATAGTTTAATTTTAAAGTGAATATCGGAAATTTCGCCAGACACATCAACTGAAAATTTATTTTTCACATTTTTCAACCTGCCACTAGAGGGCCCTCTACCATTTTATGACATCACTGGTATATTTTTTGGAAAGTTTAACCTAGCCAGAGACTAACATCCATGAAAGCAAGTTAACATCTTTTTCCACTTTTAAATCATAAAGCACTTCTGGTTTGGACCGGACGGAAGGGTCACATGATTTAGCACGCACGAGATTCAATGACGGTGCTGGATTATGCTATCGATTCCAGCAAAAGTAAATTGTGGGTCTCTCACGGTTGATTTCATATTGATTTTTAAGATTTAATCTAGAAATCTTTAATTGCTTGTAATTTGATACATGATAACGTCATAATGACGTCATAATGACGTCACTACATTTTTAATTCATCTTCATTAGGTTGTGCATTTATATATTCAAATTGAAGTTGATATCAGTTTCCATGGTGACAAACAGTTCTGGAGAAAATTTTTCAAGAAAAATAACAAAAACAAGATGAAATGTAAATTCTTAGAGAAACAATAGGTGTTCCACTCATGGCCCAACACCTGATAACAAGCATTGGCAGCCATTTTTACAATTTTTAAAATTGCTTTTTATTCTACCCATATTTTTCCAAAGGACAAGTCTGCGATGGCCCTATGCCCAGATATTTTCTTAAGACACACTCTGACTGTTTGCCAAATGCCATGCTTTTATCATCAAAGTGAGAAATCCCCCGAGTACTGTATTTCCCCTGTCTGCCCCACTTCATGGCCTATTGCAGAACGGCCCATTATAAGTGACAATTTCTGCGATGTTGCATTTTCCGCAGGATTTCAATTGTGACTCCAGAGTGGATGGCATGGGCACGGATTTCGTTGAGTACAGCTTCCATTTTGCCCGGAACCTCACCATGTGTACACAGGGATAGGGGTCAAGAGGTTATGAGGTGAAAGTTCAAAGGTCATTACGTATTGCTATGGTTCAGGAGGCTACCACTGTAATGTTTTATAACCTGACTGCCAAAACCTCTGAAACAAGTTGGGATGTATTTTGAGCACCAGTGAAGGTCGGTACCCATTTCCACTGGTTCCCCACAATATTGACTACTGTGGTGGTGCATTTTGAGCACCAGTGAAGTTCGGTACCAGTTTCCACTGGTTCCCCGCAATAAACTATGCACTAATGCACCCAGCAGGGTGCCAACACCAGTCAGCACCGGTTGCCATTCACTGCCAGGAGTCTTTGCCCTGTTAGAGTTTAACGAATACCGGTGAAAATTTAATAGTGGTGCACTCATGAATACTGACAGTTTGCGTGCCTTGTCTTAATTCAAACTTTTTTTCATTGTAAATATGTATTAATAGACGATAGACTTAAAAAGATGTTGAGAAAACGTTAACCGATATTTTTAATTGATTTTAGAGTAGTGGAAGATGCCCGACAAAATTTCAACAATGGCTAATTTCTTTATCTCTAGAAAGCCCTTTTTTGAATGTGTGTGTGTATTTGTTTGTCAGTAAATTGCGGTGTTTATTCATTGAGCTGGTAAAACATTTCTATCTTGTGTTATGTTAGACTTCCAAAAGAAAAAAAATCACTGTACAGTTATTGTCTGTTGAGGATCTTTTTATTATATTAACAAAATCTCTCTGAAATAATTCTTCACTGTTTTCACGAAGGGATGGGCATGTAAAAAAATGACATTTTTTTCAGAATTGATTTTGTTTGGCTTTAAATTTGCTATAAAAGTAGTGCTTATTCGTAAAAGTGGAATCAATGAGATTTTTATTGTCACGTGGGAACAGGCTCCCTTGTTTTAATTTTCAGATGCGCAAGTACACATGCATGCCCTCTCCTCCCCCCCCCCCCCATGGCAAAACACATTGCACAGAAGAGTGTTAAAAGTAGATTAACAGGATTTTGGCTATAACTGATTATTATTTGGTTCACTAGAAAGGTAAGCTCTCAAAAAATCATGTGGGATTTTTTTTTTTTACTGCGTAGAGTAGATGCATTGTGGAACATTTGGCACTTTTAAAAGGAACTTTTATTGCGCTATATCGAAGGGTGCTTTTCTTTAGACTCGGATGCCCATCACTTCGTGAAACCAGTCACAAATTCTGGAGAACGCACTTTAATCAGGAATATGATTAAGTCATCCCTAATTGGGTTTTTTTTCTGGTTCTTTTGACGTTATTCTGAGAAGCAAATATCAGTGTGTGAAATAAGACTATTTTTAATGTCTCCATGTGAACTAGGTGCAAAGATTTCCCATTCACTTTGGATTGCATGACGAAACACAATTGTAAAGGGTAAAAGAAAGATGGCTGCAAAATTTGTCACAAACGAATTTCATATCCACACTTTTATTTTCTCTTTGTATTCGTAAGGATTGACAAAAAAAACAAAGGGAGCATATACAATTTTATTACTCACATATACATCAGGAATAATAATTTTGGTATTAGAAAAGAATATTTTTTTGATAAAAAATAAAACAATGGTTAAGGATTATCCTTTGTATATAAAGATGGATTTTTTTATTAGAAATGTTAGATGAGGTTATAAAACATTTTTATAGTGTGGTATTTCTATATCTTACATACTTTGCGTAATGGATCACAAAAAATATTTTGTAATATAATTGTAAAATTTGGTAATTGTCAGAGGGATGAGATGACTGGAATAGAACAGCCAACGTAGGAATTCCCAATTGGTATACCCGGCCCAGTTAGTCAGTCCCAACCAGTCCTCAGGACCATTTAGGAATCCTCAACTGGGCTTTTCTTTTGTGTGACCATGTAGGAGTTCAAGGTCGGTATACCAGGCCATTTAGTAATTCCCAGTCCTCGGGACCCATTTAGGAGTCCCCAATTGGGTTTTTCTTTTGTGTGACCATTTAGGAGTTCACGGCTGGTATACCAGGCTATTTAGTAATTCCCAACCAGTCCTCGGGACCATTTAGGAATCCTCAATTGGTCTTATCTTTTGTGTGACACTGTAGGAGTTCAAGGCTGGTAAACAAGGCCCATGAAGTAATTCCCAATCAGTCCTCGGCAGCCATTTGGGAATCCAGCCGTTAAATTCGGGCTATCAATGATACTTTTGAAGAGTGGATTCATTTAATTATATTCTTCCAAGTATCTCATCACTAGTGTAGAAAAACAGCTCTGTATCCCATGAGTTTTCCACATCCATCCCTCTGTCATTTGTAATACAAATATATCTACTTTATTTTTAATGATAAATAGATTTTTCATATTTTAAAGAAAAAAGCATGTAAATAGCAGCATATATATCTACTTCAGAATTGATGACATGAAATACTTTCTTTTACGAAATTCAAAACTTTGAAGTTAGGACTTGATCTGCGCTAATGAGCAATAAAGGAAGATTTTAATATATGAAGTGATAAATGAATCTTACATTTAGTAGTACAGAAAAAAGAGAATATAATATTCTTGATGCTAATTGTACGTATCCATTAAATTCATTTTTCTATTTACTTGTTGGTACTGGGCGGTAACTGTCGCCTCGAGACAATATTCCAGCTACTGACCGGGACTAAAATTCTACCAAAAAAAGAAAGAAAAGAATATTAACAATTGTATCACTGCAAACTGTCCAGATATATTCGTCACAATGCAAAGCCCCAAAATCCTACGTACATGTACTTTCCTAGCTTTGCATATTTATAGCTATTAAATCTTGACCCAAAATAAAATCAGCAACAGCTGCAGTCATGAAGCATAAGTATGGGAAGCAGAAACTGTCAACACGCATTTGTTCATAGTTAACAAAAATTATGCAAGGTATATAATAATTGATAGAATTATACATGTACATGTATTTCTTTTACATCAGATTCCGGGCCAGTTGTCCTTTTAGACTAGCCCTAATGGTTTAAATGGCTCTCTTTTGACATGGGTCTTATGATTGTGTAATGGCGACAATAATAAGACCCATGATTGAAAGAGAGCCATTTACAGCCCTGTTTGTAGGCTACTTTTAGTCAATCCGGGCACACGATCACTTCTATCACGAAGGCCCCCTTCAATGATGGTATAGCATTATACTAGCTATTGTTCAGGAGCAGTAGCTCTTTTACACAAGCTAGCACAATGCTTTCGCCATTGAGAAAGGGGCCTCGTGACGTGAATGAATCAGGTGCCTGGACACGAACAGCGTCATGCCTGTCCCTTTAGGGGCTCCGTAGGCCTGCATGATGTGTTATTACATTGAACATCCTTATTTTCCAAAGCGTTTGCTTTAATTCTCCTTTATATTATCAATAAACCACGGGTGTACATAAACTGTGTCCATCTTGTACATGTCTTTTTTTTCTTTTTTTTGTGCACCGGCCTGCTCTTGATGAATGGCGGTGACCTGAGATTTGTGCCAATGGACCACCGTGTTGCGCAAGACAATTGGACCACGTTGATCAGGGCCCAATCTCACGGCGCTGCTTAACAGTTAGCAGAAAAGTTGTGCTTAGCATAGCAGAAAAATTTGCTAACCTTTTAAGCACTATTTCACGGCGTAGATGTGCTAACGGTCGCGCTGCACAGAGATTTATATTGTTACGTCACTGAGTTCAGCAAATGTTTCCTCTGGAGTAAGCGTGCCTTTTGCTGTGCTTATGCTTACGAATACGGTCTCCATGAAATAGACGGGGCCGTATCATAAGTCCGACGCCTCATAGGTCCGACGCCTCATAAGTCCGAAATTATGAGGCGTCGGACTTATGAGGCATAAAATTTATTTATTCCGCCTCATTGGTCCGACGCCTCATAAGTCGGACAACGGAAAAACGAGGCATTTAATTTGTCGGACTTACGAAGCGTCGGAGCTATGAGGCGTCGGAGCTATGAGGCGTCGGACCTATGAGGCGTCGGACTTATGAGCCTTTATTTGGTTAGGGGATGCGATTCTGTCGGACCTATGAGGCGTCGGACCTATGAGGCGTCGGACTTATGAGTGGACCCCAAATAGACGGAGGCTCAGTTAGCAGAAAATCATGTGCTTAGCAGCGCCGTGAAATTGGGCCCAGATGTGTGGAATAATTCCACCGTGCCTACTATATTATGAGGCGCTGTTGAAAGCAGACGATCTTGTATGTGATGGGACAATAGGTGGCGGTCTTCCTTGCAGCATTTTAGCGACAGACGCACAATTTTGTAGCTGGTTTTTGGCCTTTTAATAAACTGATTTGAAGCAGCTTTAAGTATATCTAGATCTCCCTTTTGATATTCGTGCGGTGACTGTAATGTGGACAATTAAGTCACACTTTGAACCTTCTCCGCCGGTGGTAGGCTAATGCGCCTTTTGAGTGTTCCTATGTCTAGACCCCCGATTTGATAGTTCTCTCGATGAATGTAATGTGATCACTAAGTATTTGCACGTACTCCGCAAGTGGTAGGCCTGCCGCTCATGAGCTCTACTTGAACAATGTCTAGATGCCCCTTTTGATATTTTATTTTAACATGAACATGTAAAGTTGCTACGTGTATCCCGTACATTTTCAAGTTTTATTTTCTGGCAAACGAATATTCAAAGAACATGACATCCATGCTCGAATAAATTGTTCATTTTTTTTTAGCAGTCATAGGCATGTGATTCCCTTTTAAAAGGAGCTTTGTTTGTTGCGCTTGTTTCACCCTCGAGCTGCATTTAGATCTGACCCGGCGGGTCGGGCGTTGTGTTTGGTCTGTGCAGCATGCCTACATAATGCACAGACATGTTTACGTTTCATACCTAGTGTGGACATTATTTTGTTTCCGTGTGGTTAAGAAAAACCTGAGAATTACTCACGAAAACTCTTTCAACCCATTTTTCCCTATGAATTCCCTTAGTGTTTCTCTTCATTTTGCTATAACCAAAAAAATGCCTCTAAACCTGCTTTCCCGAGAGATGGAAAACATTGTGTGGACGTGGGCAAGTCCACACAACGTCGCTGCTACCTGGTTTATGTGGATCGACCTCTTTTGTTCGGAAGTCCACACAGTGAATGTTATGCTTGTGCACACATACTGAAATATTTATCGTTGTGGAGACATTTCTTTGTTCTCATGTAGTAAAGTTTTCGAGTTTGAAAGAGAAGTTTGAAAATGCTCTTATTTTAACCAGAATTAATTTCCTTGGCTGAAATTTGGACTTAATATCCCTTTTCTAAAACTCTTCCATTTGCGACGGATCAAACCCCCCCCCCTTGGAAATTCCTAGTTTTTGAGTAAAATCCATTTATCTATTTCGTGAAAATCATTCATCTATAGAAATTGCCCTGTAGAGACGTATCTTTTGTTCCCTATTGTGTGCACGTCTCCAGATGGCACGGTGTATCATATCACACACATTATCATGGCTCCCTGTGCTCCCTCTGCTGTGTATACTTTGACTGTTATAGGAAGAATTCCCGTATGTTTTAGACACACACACATCAAAAGTGGACCTTCGGCCAACCGTGGACCCTATTGTCCTCTATTGTTCAAGGTCAAGATTTGAATGTGTATGTACAAACCCACAAAGTCGGTCGTGTTATCCTATACTTACGACGACCTCCAATTGTTCCCTTGATCTTTCGTTCCTGTATCCTTTGTATATACTTTATTTTTTTCCCCTCAACATCTCCTATAAGGGTAACTGTATACGAAATCGCAAATCCCCCATTGTCCCAAGTCCTCAGTCCTAATGGATAACAATATCAGGCACTTGGGCCCCAAAGTTGGTGATATAATTCAGGGCTAGGTTGTGCATGGCACTGAGTACGTGTGTGTTGTGGAAATCGATTTAAGTCCGACTTGAGTCAAGACTAAGATGAATTAGAAGCGTCCCGCTCAATTCAAATGTTGAATTGAAAAACAAATGATATTAGCATTGACCGATTATTTTCGTTCAATGTCTCATTGGAAAGTTCATTCACGTTTGTAGTGCTAACAAAAAGTTCATTTTAATTTTTTTAGGGTGTCACACTCCAAAAGAACAGATATCCTTCCTTTAAGTCACACTTTGAACCTACTCCGCTGGTGATATAGGCCACTCGTGTTTGTTGTCTAGATCTGTGTTTGTTGTCTAGATCTCCCGTTTGATGTTCAACCGGTATTCCAAAAGAACAGATATCCTCCCTTTTAAGGCACACTTTGAACCTTCTCCGCTGGTGATATAGGCCACTCGCCGTGTTTGCTGTCTAGATCTCTCGTTTGGATAAATCAATAATGTGTTGCTTTTGATTAGATGTAATTTCAAATTCAAGTTTGCATTGCCTCGACACAGCATTCACTTCAGATAAGTTGGGGACCTTTAACACCCATTTATAATAACGTTACTCCGGGTTATGACCAAGGCTGTCAGCTTGTTTCCCATACGAGCTTAATTGTTCCCATCCCGCTATTTAATTCGTTATTACGGATTATTTAATTCGTTATTACGGATTATTAATTCGTTATTACGAATTACTCATACGTTCTGAGTCATTACTCGGCAAGTATGGCACAGGAGTGCAAACGTTGTATGCAAAGATAGCGCCGCCTAGCGGCGTTATATACATAGGCCCCTGGTCACGTGCTCTCCATGTGTGAGAACATCAGACTTAATTCGTAATAACGAATTAATAATCCGTAATAACGAATTAAATAATCCGTAATAACGAATTAATAATCCGTAATAACGAATTAATAATCCGTAATAACGAATTAATAATCCGTAATAACGAATTAAATAATCCGTAATAACGAATTAATAATCCGTAATAACGAATTAAATAATCCGTAATAACGAATTAGTAATCCGTAATAACGAATTAATAATCCGTAATAACGAATTAGTAATCCGTTATAACGAATTAATAGTCCGTAATAACGAATTAGTAATCCGTTATAACGAATTAATAATCCGTAATAACGAATTAAATAATCCGTAATAACGTATTAATCATCCGTAATAACGAATTACATAATCTGTAACATATATACTTGCAGTGGCGCTAATGGGCTTTCGTAGTGTGCGGTAGTACGTAGCGGGAACAAGTTCGTACGGGGAAAAGCTTGACAGCCTTGGTCATGGCTAGGTTATGGGAAGAACACACTGATAATTATTATTCACTTACAGGCAGTGGACACCATTTTGGAAAAAAAAATATTTTTGCCGATTCAGGGAACAACAATACAATAAACTTGAAGCAGGTTGTAAAAAAACCTAACATGTAAGAAATTTCAGCTTACAGTAGATATCAAACTGTGAAAATGCATCTTCATTTTGTTTTCTCTCGGATATGTCACCAATTGCAAACTACGCTAAATTCGGTCAATTTAGGAAGTATTTTGAAAAAAGTATTATTTTCGCGAAGGTTTGTCCAAACTATCGCGAGGAAAATGATTCTAATTTCCCTTTTTTTCTCAAAAATGACATCATTCTAGGCGTATTGATTTCACGGCATGCTCGAGTCCATTACTTTTAATCAAGTACGACATATTTCATATTTTGTTTTGATTTTGATTTTTGAATGGTGTAGGCCTACTGTATTGTTTTCAGAAGCCTAGGTTAGCCTAGGTTTTAATCGTCCCCTGTGTAGACAGAAATTGCCAAAGCGTCACGTACGTTGAACATGGGCACTGTGCGGTAAAATCGCTCGGTCTGGTACCTGGGGTCGTTCTCCACGTATTCGAGGTAGTCAGGGGCACCAGGCCACAGCGTGTCGTCAGCCATGATAATGGTTCCCTTGCGTAGCAACCGCTCTTTCTCCAGTAGCTTAAGGTCGGGTAGGTACTGCCACTTGCAATGATCGACGAAGACGAAATCCAGCTTGTCCACGTGGTACTCGCTGCGGAGGACTTTAATGGTGTCTTCTGCCGTTCCTGTGACCACAGTTATAACCTGACGGAAGGATTAATATACTTTTTTTGAACTGTTTAATTTGACAGGTGGTACTTCGATACCCTAACGAACTGATTAGCACTGAAATGTTGTCCTATTTCTGACGTATTTAGTACCAACTGACCCTGATTTTTTTTTTTTTTTTATGAAAGCAGATTAACTGTTTAATACTTTGATACAAAACGAGCAAGAAACAACAAACAAAATGCAAATAAGGCGATGCAATTCAGGCCTTGGTTTGTGTGAAGGTGAAATGAAGGAATTTGTGTAAAGGGTAACAACGAATGAGCCCTTTCATCAGCTAGAAACACCTTAACTCGAAAATGTGTAGATTTATTCTAATATAGCTTATACCTGATCAAGACCAGCAAAGTGGACTAGTTCCCTCGCCACATCGGCTGTTTTTGGTACATACTCCACAGTGATCAGGCGACCACCCGGCGGAATCTGACTAGCCACGGTAATGGCTGACAAGCCCACGTAGCAACCCATCTCGAAGCAGATTTTCGGGGCCGCCTTCTTGACAACTTCTTCCGTCTTTTGTTCTAAAGACAAGATTATTATGGCTTTTATAGTCTACCCGTGGTATAAACTTGCACGGTATTTCAATTGTTAAGGACTGTTCATGTGACGTATTTGAAAATTTACTGTACGGCAACATTATAGTCCTATACAGGGTGAATGAAAAACAAAAGGAAACCCAGATGTAAATGTAAATAATAATAAAATATCTAATAAATATTTTTAAATAAATTAAAGATCACGTGAAACCGCCGATGTGTCCTCTTTCCAATGATTTGCGTCACTGTGGCAACGGATGACTGAGCATTCGTTGTCATTCAAAATAGGGATGCTTACATATTAGCTACTAGAAAAAAAAAAATTAACAGTAAACAAACGTGCTCTGAGGGCTGTATTATGTAATTGGTCACAATTACAAACGCTATACATGTCTGCCAAAAGGCAGTGATGTAGTAGAGTCCTTTTATCCAAGTACAAAGTATACTGCGGAGTACCAAGCTATACTGCTCGCATCCTAGTATTTTGACCCTTGTTAACGGGTAAACATGTACCAGAGTTCAAGCAAGTAGATCTTTGAGTGAAGGTTCAGGCGCGGATGCAGTTGGTCAAACCTCCCCCCCCCCGGCCTGTTTCGTACGGTAGGCCCTATATATAGGCACCACTGAGTGCTCCGGACGTAGGCCATACTCCACCCTATAGCATAGGCACCAAAGTCATGTTGATGCATTTGAAGTACACAGAATTTACAAATCAAGCCAGGCCAAACTGGTATAGGACCTAGCTCTAAAAGCCTGTTGGCACCAACGACGTCAATCGCTTCTCAGTGGGGGGGGGGGGGGGGGGGGGGACATTGGTCAGAGTGCGAAGCCTAAGGGTGCAACCCTGCTAAAAAAAACTCATAGACACCAGTGTTAAATGCGCATACTTCAAAATTCTTTTAAAAATACTCAGCTGCACAGAAAAATGATGATCAATGTGTCATCTTGTATTTTATTTTCATTTTTTGGGTGGGTTGACCATTGACTTTTCGAGATATTCTCACACAAAGGAGACAACCCCTTTTTTTCCCCACTAGCGGAAAAAGTTGCCATCTGGAAAAACGATCCCTCCACAATGTCAAAATAGCGCCACTTTCGAGCCCAATAGCATCCAAAATAAATGCTCAGAATTGGAAGCCCCAAGTCCGGGCCAGAGGTTCATTACCATATCTCTTCAATTCCCAAATTGTATGGCTCTCAAATCTCTCTGATATAGAATATTTTGAGGGTATAACTTTTATTCATGAGCTTGGCGGACGGATTTTTGGCCTATTTACAGGCGTGCACCCCTAAACGGCGTAGGCTTTGGGGCCCGCTTAAGAGCCCCGAACAATTCTAGACGTTCTGTGGTGCGATTTAGCAAATGATCATCAGTTAAACATCATTTTCGAATTTGGAGTCATTGAATCAGCTATTCTGAGCTATAGAATCAAATGAATGTAGGCTACATTTTTTTTACAACTTTGGGGACGAAAATAGGGTGGGTTTTTTTTTTGGGGGGGGGGGGACGACATGTTCCCCAGGCCCCCACCGATCGACGCCCATGCATGGTTGTTACCGTGCCTCAGAACGACATACTTCACATGAAATTTGTATAGGGCTTACATGTATGCCTGAATGCTGTACAGCGTCAGTAATTTAAAATGTTGAGAGAGATCCTAAAACTTTTAAAACACTTTTCTCTGCGTGTGGGTGTGTGGATAGGCCTATCTCTGTGTTTTATGGCACACTGCGGTATTTTCGTAGGGCCCCGATTTTTCCGTAGGCCCCGAATTTTTCGTAGGCCCTAGGCACTGCAGTGCCTATTGTGCCTATTGGATAATCCGGGCCTGCCCCCCCCCCCCCCCGCCAACTCTATTAATTTTTGTTCATAGAAATTCATTAAAATAATGCGACCCCCCCCCGGTCCCTCCCTGCTCTGACTGACTGACACCCCAAAACAAGGTAATAATGTCCGCCTGTGAAAAAATTACGCACAGAGCCAGCTTGGTTAGAACGTATTTGTACACTTTTCTGTAATATACTCGTCGGGTTGGAACATTGAAAGTATGGTACGAGCCCCCCACCCCACCCCCTCACCTATTGATTTTACGGAGGCCAAGTGTCCGAACACAAAAAACCTGTCTACAATTCAATAATGATTTGCTGACACCCCCCCCCCCCCCCCGCAAAAAAATCCTGGATCCGCCAGGGCCCGGTATTAAGCAAGTATCGTTAAAACGGAGAACGCGCGTCTCCAAGTCGAGACATATTTTATTGAGTTCAAACCTAAAATCACTCGATTCCCCCGATCATTATAATCGAGTGTTAGTACTTAGATGATAGAGTTACGACATCGAATAGTTCAGTCCAAGAACTTTGCTTTTTCGAGTACGAGTACCGAGTATTTGAGCCTACAATCCCGGCCAAAATGGTTGGGACACTTTGAAATAACCTTACCCTCCCACGGTCACCCACTCCCTCGCTCCCCCGGTCAGTGTTGTTCTCTCCATGGAGCACACACCGCGCAATGAGAGACAACATTGAACGGGGGCCGGGGGTTGGGGCCCAGCGAGATTTGGCCAGGATTGTACAGGTATTTTGATGTTCGAGTACAAGTGCGAGTATGTACTAGTATTCTAAAAAGAACTCATAGCTAAAAATATCAGCCAACGATTATCGAAACTTACTTTGCGCGGATTTTATCGCAATCGTCCACTCGTAATTCTGAATGTATTTCTCAAAGGCTGCAAGGACGCTAGCCGGGTCGCCCTCTACGGCCGTCTTTTTGACGTAAGCCAGGAGTCGGTCTTCCAAGGTGTTCCAGTACCACAAGTTGCGCCAAAAAGTCGCCAAAATGATGCGGGTAAAGACTAAGTAAAAAACCTTGACCGACGCAACGTTCTTGAGCATGGACCACATGGCTTTCAAATCGGTCAGAAGCGCCTGGGAAAAAAAAAGAGGTTATAAGACCAAAAAAAAAAAAAAAAGTCGGTCTCTGGTCAGCGCGCGTCGATTTTAATCATGCGCGTCAATCTTTTTTTCCCAAATTTTCCGCGGTAGCTACAACAGCGATCTGTATTGCCGCACCTCCTCAACTTTGTGTACCAAAGAGCGGCAAGGAATTGGGAAATTGCACAAAGGCAAGTGATGGAGGGCACCAAGGCAAATGATGGAGGACACCAATGTATATGAGGACACAACAAAAGCAAAATAGTATACACACCTTGTCTGTACAATCCAAACTTGAAAAAAAAGCCGACCAAAAAAACCAAAAAAACAAAACGCCGCATCAATTCCGGAACTTAGGTCTGACCAGAGACCGACCATATTTTTGTTTGCCCAATTATACAAGGACGTCAAATAACGAGGGACCATCATGAATGGTATGCGAACGAGAAAGTTGCTTGTTGGATAACCACAGTTAACAAATAACCACAGATTGGTTGTTATTTCATCTGGCACATTGTTTATAGTATTAAACGAAGTTTACATCTTAATATTACTAAGCGAGCTTACCATTATTTTCGATTAATGTATTATTTAGTCCAAAATAGCTGCGAATAAAAACAACAACTGCAATTCAGAAGCTGCACTGCGGGAATAGAGACATGCATGTAGCCCTCAATGATAATTGTACTGTTCAAAAAGTGCACGTCGAAAATGACCGGGTGTAATGTTCACTTAGCTTATGTTTCGATAATTGATTCCGTGCATGGAATTCGTCACCAATCTCGCTCCCAGGGTCTACATTCAACCTCGAGACAATTATAGTAGACCCTGGTAGGGAAGCTTGGGTTTCTGCATTCTGATTCGATACCGCAATAGCAAGTAATGAATTTGTAATCGTGTACGTGGTGATTATATATAGGCATATTTCCAATGTAACTTGTTAAACGTTCACTGTAAACTATTACATACAATCCTCAAAAGCAACCCTCTTAAATATTTCCATAAGGCCCAAAGGGTTTCGCACCGATCTTGATCCAGATTCGGGATCCTGATCTGGATCACGGATCTGAGGGATCCTTCCAGAGAGACGGATCGATTACCGATCGCAAGATTAGAAGGGACGAGTGCGGGTCCTCGGTTGTTTAGAGGCTACTCAGTATAAGAAAGGAACAGCTACGGGTCCTCAATAGTATAAAAGAACAAATTACAGGTCCTCAGTTGAACAGTAAAACGCGTTGTATATGTACTGAACCATTATTGTCCCTTTACCATTCAAACTTCATTTTGCAGTTCGAGCGATTCACAATGCAGTGCGCCACCAAGAGTTTGCCATGGAGAGTTGATTTTTCCCAGTGCATTGTGGGAGATGGTCGACAAATTTGCAGCGCGGGACATTTGAAATTGTAAGTTTTTCCGGTCAGTTGTTTCGTAAGCGTATGATTCGAGGACCTGTTTGCCCTTTTCTTTTTATCAATATGGTGTTTTTTTTTGTAAGGCGGCAGGAACGCTATGCCCCAATCTATAACATATTAGCTCAAGTTGTCTACTGACACTCATTCAAATGGGCCATGTTTTGTCGATTGTAAACGTATTTGTAAGTGTTGTAAAGGTTGGTATTCTGTATTCTCTTTTTTGTTGTTTTGGTTTAGTGAGAAAAACCTTGCTCAAAGTGAAGACAAGATAGGTACTAATTATCAGCTGTGAAAATAATCCACCTGATATGGTATCATTCGGAAGAACACAATAATTGAAGGTGGTCTTTAACCCTCCTATGGAAACATGCATTGTCAGCCTGGTTATTACTTGGGTCAATATTGGTCAAGACCCCCATTGGTTTGTACACTATAGGCCAGGAGGTGAGGAAGAACATTTTGACCATTGGTGACTTCTTAAAAGAGTGCCCGCAGCACCCATTACATGCATGAGCCCCCCCCCCCCAAAAAAAAAAATTGTGTGTTATGTTTTTTTCTGTTGTCTCAAGATGTATAGTACAGAGTTCAAAAGTTTATATAGTTGTTGTACACTCATACTTCAGATTTTGAGAAATTGCACAAAAGCAAATGAACCGCCGATTTGTTTTCAAAAGACTGCTTTATTTATTTGTGATTGCAGGGTATAACTCACAACAGGAATAACTCGGCTATATATATTTCTACTTCAGAATTGCTGACATGAAATACTTTCTTTTACAAAATTAAAGACTTTTTATGAAGTTAGAACTTGATCTGCGCTTAAGGAAGATTTTAATAAAATGAAGTAATAAATTAATCTGACCTTTATTTTCTTTTAAAGGGAAAAAAGAAGAGAATATAATATTCTTGATGCTAATTGTACTTATCTATTGAAATTCAGTTTTCTATTTACTTGTTTGTATGGGGTAACTGTTGCTTCGAGACAATATTCCAGCTGCTGACCGGGACTAAAATTCTACCTGAAATAACCGGCTCCTAACTTCACAAGGCCTAATTTAATTCTGACCATTGTCTCTTTTTGTAAAGATTACCCTTTTTTGCGACAAGATGGTGGTTCTATAGGAAGAAGCGATGGTGAAACACTCGACGTTTCAGGCAGTAAACTCTGACCATCTTCAGGTGAAAATATTTATCGAAAATGTTAGATATTTTGTTATTTATACCTGCTTCTCATCTTCTTGTTACCCAAAAAGAGAATCATCAATGGTATCACTGCAAACTGTCCAGATAGTATTCGTCGCAATGCAAAGCCCAAAAATCCTACGTACTTTCCTAGCTTTGTTTATTTTAGCTTGATTTATTACTCATCGCAAATTGATATGCTATTAACAATTTTACAAGGGCCTTTTTTTCGGGGGTGATTTCCTTAAAAAATCAATGTGCCAAAAGTAATTGCAAAATCTTGAATGTTTGCACGTTAATTGTTTTAGTCCAAAAGCAGCTGCTACCGGGGTGAACTGTCGGGCTCTATTACAAATTAAAGAATAGGTGTCGCAATTATAAGCTAACTAAGAATGCATTCAGCCTGCCAAAGCTTGGCACTCCAACCTCTCGTTTACCCACCCCATACCCAATATATCTTTTTTCAGTAGTCTAGGTTTGACTTTTAATCTTCCCCTTGGTAAACAGAAATTGCCATAGCGACGGGTACGTTTAGCAAGATCGCTTTGCAGTTAAATCGCTCGGTCTGGTACTTGGGGTCATTTTCCACGTATTCGAGGTAGTCAGGGGCACCAGGCCACAGCATATCGTCGGCCATGATAATGGTTCCCTTGCGTAGCAACCGCTCTTTCTCCAGTAGCTTGAGGTCGGGTAGGTACTGCCACTTGCAATGATCGACGAAGACGAAATCCAGCTTGTCCACGTGGTACTCGCTGCGGAGGACTTTAATGGCGTCTTCTGCCGTTCCCGTGATCACTGTTATAACCTGTCCAGGCAGAATAAAGAATTGATATTCTTTGAAATGTTTATTTCGACAGGTGGTACTTCGCTTCTCGCGCAGGTTGCAAGCGCGCACTCTCAGTGCTCCTTTGAGCCATAGATATCAGAAGAATAATGCGCGCGTGCCTCAACTTACTAACGCGCCTGACATGCGCGAGAGTGTGCTTTCACTTAAACACTTTTCCAGTGCCACATGAAATTTGGACTCCTATGAAATCCAGTACCTTTTACCGTTTGATTGATTGAACGTTCACAATCCTCACGTAGGCATGCGCAATACTACCCGTGAGTCAGTATTCCATATAATAGTCTTAAATTCACACTACACCGGCACAGTTGCGTTCTGTGCCACATCGCGCAATATGCATATAAGGAGTTGTTTACGACTACTCGCGAGAGGGACATACCATAACATTGCAAGAGAGGTGTTTCGAAAAACATGAAGTAACATCGTTGAACGAAATCTTTGGAAATTTATAATTTTTGACTTGTTTTGAATTTTGTACCGAAAAGTTGTGATCTAAACCAAAAAGGTATTTATGAATGGGTATAAATATGCTTAGCCTATATTAAACACTATTATGTTTAAGACCGGTTTGGAATCTGGAAGTTAATAATGACCCTCGGCTCGGGTCATTATCAGCTTCCAGACTCCAAACCGGTCTTAAACTAGTGTTTAAAAACGGCCAAGCACACAATTATTCTCTTATTAATTTGTATAAAGGGGATATGGCAATAGACCTTTCTCAGGGTACGCCATCTTAAAATTCAAAGTGAGGCAAATAAAGCTGCTTGGCCACTGTTTTAAGCTTAATATTCTAAGATCCTTCTTATATATATTACCTAACTAGCAGTGTTGTAGTAGAGGACTTTTTCCGAGTACCGAGTACTGCCGAGTACTTAGGTTACCGAGTACTTGTATTTTTACTTCTGAGTACAAGTACAGGTCTCCGAGTACGAGTACTTGTACTTCCGAGTACGAGTCCGAGTACGAGTACTTGCATTTCCGAGTACGAGTACGAGTACTTGTATTCCGAGTACGAGTACGAGTACTTCTATTTCCGAATACGGCCATACGGCAAATGGTTCATTGTGCGTAATTGGCCCAGGCCCAGTAAGACCGATATACAGACCCACTCATGGCTAGCTGTTAAATGTGTTTGTCCGGGCGTGCACAGAGGAGAATCAGGAAACTTCGATTTCTCCGAAAGCCACTCAACCATTTCAAACTGAAGGTATCGATAAAATAAGGCTGTACTTTGCTGCCCGAGTACGAGTATCGTCATTTCGAGTACGAGTACTTTGACATTCGAGTACGAGTATATACGAGTACGAGTACGAATACGAGCTTTTACTCTAAAAAAAAAAGTACTCGAGTATGAGTACCAAATACGAGTACTACAACACTGCTATATACCAAGAATACGGATTGATTTTTCGAGAGAATTTTAGCTATCTTTCCATTTATAAGACTGTCCATCTGCTATAACTTTGCGAGAGTCACTCGTTTATCGCACACACTATTTACGCCGCCGTGTTTGTTAACTTGTTTGCCTCGCTATGATTTTCAAGATGGCGTAGGCCTACCCTGAGAAAGGTCTATTTCAAAGGTAACAATGAATACGAAATAGTCATCTTATCAACTAGAAACGCCGAAACTCGAAAACTTAGTATGGTCATTCTAATATACCTGATCAAGACCAGCAAAGTGGACTAGTTCCCTTGCCACATCGGCGATTTTTGGTACATACTCCACAGTGATCAGACGACCTCCGGGCGGGATCTGACTAGCCACGGTAATTGCTGACAAGCCCACGTAGCAACCCATCTCGAAGCAGATTTCCGGAGTCGCCTTCCGGACAACTTCGTCCGTCTTCAATTCTATAGATAGCAGTATTATTGGTTTTATACAATGGTATCAAATGTGACATTTCATTGGTGGAGGGTCTGTGGTGGCTGACCCAAGTTTGACGTCAGAGCTATAAATCGAACGGTACGGGGCTAACCCGAGTCAACCCGGGTGAGCTAATCGAACGCACCCAGAATTTTTAAAGACTGGACACGTGGCCGTTCTATACCAGTAACATTACAATATCCAAAACAGAATATATAACATATAGACATTGTACCTACCTATCAACAGCAAGGGAATGCATGTTGAAACTTACTTTTCTCAGGGTGGAGAGCCATCGTCCACTCATAATCATTATATTTCCTAATAGCTGCAAGTACGCTAGCCGGGTCGCCCTCAACGGCCGTCTTCTTGACGTAAGCCAGGAGTCGGTCTTCGGTGGTGTTCCAGTACCACAAAGTGCGCCAAAGCTTCGACAAAATGATGCGGGTAATTACGTAAAACAATTTGACAGACCCAATGTCCATGAGCATGGACCACATGCCTTTCAAATCGGTCAGGAGCCCCTGAAAAAGAAACAGAAAAAGAAAAGGAGAGAAGGTTAATGAACAAGGGCATGCCAAATGAGGAACCATTAGGAAAGGGATACGTATGCGGCTCATACAAAAAGCCGCTTGTTATAATATAACCCATAGAGACATTACATTACTAGAGTGCTAACTCCTCATTCCCCCGCGGAGATACTTTGAAGCTGTCCTGAGCAGTCCATCCAAAAAGTAACTGACGTAATTATTGTTGAAAAACATACTTGGTTGGAAGATAGTAAGAGGACTAAACTTCCTGTGAAATTATTCTTTCTGGCAAGCTTTTATTTTGAAGAAATCAACGAAAGAAGGCCTTTCCAACGGTACGTCTTATGACGCACCATTGGAAATTTCCGTTAGTAGTTCGTTTTTTATTAGGCGAAGTGCGCGCAAGCGTTGACACGACGCACACGCACGTGCGGTTGCTATTATTCGTCGGATCGGTGCGCGACATCGTGCAGCTGCAATCGGCTCAGTGAAAATGTGTCGCGGACGCTGAATTGAGGCCCAATTCAAAACATTATTCAGCAACTTTTGATTTGAAATCGTGATCATAGAATGTTTTTTTCTCTCTAAATAAACAGCTGAAGCTGAGCTGAAACTTCATCAGGTTAGTTGTTCAGCACCCTTCTTTAGATTTTGAGCACTTTTGTCGCTTCAAACGAACAAAATGCACATATTACAAAAATGATGGACTAAGTATACCTTTAATGAAATTAGACGAAATGAATTTCGAATAAATGTAGGCCTACTTTAAATACGACGCACAAGTACAGCATGTACGCAAAAAAAAACGTTAAGTGCGTTTTCTACGAGTACGACCCATATGATGTAGAATAAATGGTAAGACCGTAGCATCAGATTTGCGCTTGCGTTGTTTGCGCAGAGCAAAATGAAACGCTCATTATTGTACTGATGGTGCGTTTCAGTTTTGGGCGTATGGGCTTTGATAACGCACCTGTATTAGAATACAAACGGAGATATGCAAACAGCCGTACTAACGCCCTTCTAAATTTTGAGTTTTCCACTAGGTTTGTGTACAAACATACACTGATGGAAACGCCCAGCAGGCTTCACTTTGAACAGCGAGTTAGCGCTCTAGTAATTGAATATAGCTCCATGTTGTAACCATACTTTGCGTGGTTATTTCATCTGGCACACTGTTAGCAATGCGCATTTTGCGTCAAAATCTTAATATGTATAAAATGGTGATACAACCAACTATTCTTTTTCGGAGCCGCATTAGTATCCCGTTCCCTCATCATTATTTTCTAACAGGTTAATAACTCCTCTGACGCTACGCAAACCTTGCTCGGTAAAATAACGAAGTTTAATATATATTACTCAAAGAGCTTACCATTATTTTCGATTTATGTATTTCTTAGTCTCCGAAATAGCTCCAACAACAAAAAACCGCTGCAATTCAGAAGCTGTACAGCAAGAATATAGAGGCATACATGCCCTAAATGATAATTGTACTGTTCAAAGAGTGCGCGTCGAAAATTAACGGGTGCAATGTTCACTTAGCCTTTGTTTCGATACTTGATTCCGTGCATGGACTTCGTCACCAATCTCGCTCCCAGGGTCTACATTCAACCTCGAGACAATCATAGTAGTCCCTGGTACGGAAGCTTGGTTTCTGTAATTCGATACCGCAATAGCAAGTAATGGATTTGTAATCGTGTACGTGGTGATTATATATAGGCCTATTTCCAATATAACGTTTTAAACGTTCACTGTAAATTATTACATACAACTCTGAAAAATCAACCCTCTTAAACATTTCGTCATTGTCAATATTTAGTGTAATACTGCACGTTTGATGCGAGTCATGTGTTTTCCGATCTCAGAAAACGACGAATTGATTCCGTCTGTACCCTGAACACTGTATAAAAACAAACAAGCATGCATTTACGGCGGGCTACCAGACTATCGCGTAAGATAATGCGCAATTTACCACGAGAGATAAGCCTACAATTTGGGAGTATACAAAAATATAACCTGGTTTGAAAGTGCATAGCTCAAATTGTATAGCTCCAATAAGTAGTTCTGGAATTAAGTTGACAAACTAGCAAAGCTCTGGAGGATTTTTGTAATGAAAAGTGAAGTCCTAACACCATTCATTTACCTACTGACGCATGCGCATTACGGGCATAGACTATACTTGGTTGTAGAAAAAGTAATTGCGTCACGTCCACCTGGGCTCTCGGAAGTGGTTAAAAAGGCGCCCTCTCTTGCTCGCGCAGAGGGCCCAAATGGTTTCCCACCGATCTTGATCCAGATCCGGGATTCGTTCGTTTGTTTTGCTCGGATCTTGATCTGGAGTCAGTCCTAGGCAATGGTTTCCTTTGTATGTTGTGCTTGTTTCACCCTCGAGCAGCAGTTAGATCTGACCCGGGTCGGGCGTTGTGTTGGTCTGTGCAGTATGCCTACACAAAAACACCCACATATCAATCAAATCTTTAATTTTCCCAACGCATACAAGTACATAATAATATTACTTAACATTTGAATTATTCAAAACTCTTGTTTTACTATACTCTTTTCTTTTTTTTTGCCTTTTAATTAACTAATTTGAAGCAGTTCTAAGTCTAGGTTTTAAGTCTCCCTTTTGTTATTCGTGCGGTGATTGTAATATTGACATTAAGATACACTTTGAACTTATTTCGCCGTTGGTATGCTAATGAGCTATTTAAGTGGTACTATTTCTAGACTCCCCGTTTACGATACTTCTCAGATCATTGTAATGCGATCGTTCAGTTATATTTGAACGTACTCCGCAAGTGGTATGCCTACCGCTAATGAGCTATACTTGAACAATGTCCAGATGCCCCTTTTGATATCTTACTGGTGGTTATTTTTAATACGAACTTTTAAAGTTGCTACATTATGTATCCCGTAATTTTCAAGTTTTATTTTCTGGCGAACGAATATTCATAAAATATGACATCTTTGCTCGAATAAATTGTTCATTTCTGTAGCAGTCATATAGGCAATGGTTCCCTTTGTATGTCTCACTTGTTTCACCCTCGAGCTGAATTTAGATCTGACCCGGGTCGGGCGTTGTGTTGGTCTGTGCAGTATGCCTACATAATATTATACACCCACATACTCTTGTTTTACCATACTCTCAAGGACAATGCTTTGTGTTTCCTTTGTCTCTGTAATATAACACTCTCCAATAGACTAAGCACACAAACCTACTACAGAGGACCGTTTTGAACAAAAGACCCAACTCCCGAGGACTGAAAGGATCTGTTGTTCTCCCTTTGTGTGTCTGTCCTCGGGTTATGTAGAACAAGAACACACACACACACCCACCCAGTGTATAAACCCATTCATTCGTTGAACCGCTATTGTCCTCCTATATGATTTGTACACGATTGTCAATTGTGGACCTTTGGGAATTGTGGACCCTATTGTCCTCTAAACGGCCCCTTTTGACGAAGTCCATGCGCGGAATCAATTATCGAAACATAGACTAAGTGAACATTACCCCCGTCATTTTTCGACGTGCACTTTTTGAACAGTACAATTATCATTTAGGGCTACATGCGTGCCTCTATTCACGCAGTGCAGCTTCTCAATTGCAGTTGGTTTTTTTATTCGCAGCTATTTTGGACTAAATAATACATTAATCGAAAATAATGGTAAGCTCGCTGAGTAATATTAAGCTGTAAACTTCGTTATTTTACCGAGCAAGGTTTGCGTAGCGTCAGAGGAGTTATTAAGGCCCGTTAGAAATGATGAGGGTACGGGATACTAATGCGGCTCGGAAAAAGAATAGTTGGTTGTATCACCATCTTATATATCTTAAGATTTTGATGCAAAATGCGCATTGTTAACAGTGCGCCAGATCAAATATTAACGCAAAGTATGGTTATACAACAAGCAACTTGCTTATGAACCAAATACGTGCCATACATGGTGGTCCCTCGTAATTCGGCATGTCCTCGTACAATTAACCTCTCTCTTTTTTTTCCAGTGGCACCTGACCGATTTGAAAGCCATGTGGTCCATGCTCAGGAACATCGGGTCGCTCCAGTTTTTTTACACGATCATTTTCCGCCTCATTTTGTCGATGTTTTGGCGGACCTTGTGGTACTGGAACTTCTTGGAAGACCGACTCCTGACTTACGTCAAGAAGACGGCCGTTGAGGGCGACCCGGCTAGCGTACTTGCAGCTATTAGGAAATATAATGATTATGAGTGGACGATGGCTCTCCAACTGGAGAAAAGTAAGTTTCGATAATCGTTGGTTGACTTTTGGCTATTATGAGTTCTTTTAAGCATACTCGTACTCGTACTCGAACATCAACATACCTGGACTCAAATATACACAGTACTCGTGCTCGACAGTTCTTGGACTCAATATCGTACTCTATAGTCAAAGTACTAACACTCGATTATAATGACTTGGGAAATATCGAGTGATTTTAAGTTTGAAAAAAAAAGTCCTAACTTGGAGACGCACGTGTTCCGTTGAACCATACTTGCTTATTATTACCGGGCCGTGGAGAGGCGATTGTATTCGCTTGAGTACGGTACTCTATAAAGAACTCGTATACTCAGCTTCTCAAAACCTCAGGGGCGGATCCAGGAATTTGTGAGGCTGCGTCAGCAAATCATTATTGAAATGCAGGCAGGTCTGTTTTTGTTCGGACACTGGCCTCCATAAAATCAACAGGTGGGGGGAGGTGGGGGGGGGGGGGCTCGTACCATACAATTGGTGCGCTGTTCAAACCCGAAGAGTATTAACACTACATAGCGTACTAATACGCCCTAACCAAGCTGGCTCTGTCTTTAATTTTTTTTCACAGGCGGACATTATTACCAGTACACTTGGGGGGTATTTTAATGAATAAAAAAAAATTGACAGAGCCGGGGGGTTAAAGGTTTGACCCCCCCCCCCCCCCCCGATCCGCGCCTGAACCTATACTCAAAGGTCTACTTGCTTGAACTCTGGTACATGTATACCTCTTAACAAGGATCACAATTCTCGGATGCGAGCGGTATAGCTTGGTACTCCGCGGTTTACTTTGTACTTGGATAAAAGTACTCGACTACATCACTGCATTTTGGCAGACAGGTATAGCGTTTATGAATGTGTCCGCTTTATTATTATGGGGCGCTGTGGTCCAATCATCGGGCGCTGAAGTCCAATGGGTACGGTGTTCCTGACCGTGGGAACATGGTGCTTTTGCTCTTGAGCAAGGCACTTTACCATTATTGCTTCGTCCCTCGGATGGGACGTAAAGCCGTAGGTCCCGTGTGTTGTGTAATGCACGTTAAAGAACCCAGTAGAGAAGGGGTTTGCTCCGGTGTTTCTGGCAGTGGCAGCAATATGCGCCACAGCACCTAGCAAAAAGGTGCCATATAATGGGTCTCATAATATGTTCACATACTTCATTTACCTGTCTTTGGTTGCATTCTCCCCCAGCGCTTTGTATCCTCTGGACAAAAGCGCCATATAAATACAGTTATTATTATTATTCACATAAGGGGTGCAGGCCAGTTACTTAAGTGCCATATTTACCCCATCGAGAAACAACACCACCTCCAGAAACAAATATTCACAATTCTCCAAGGTGTTTGAGAAACACATCAAATTAAAGCTTATTTCATCATTTTTCATTTTCTGTTCAAAGTTTAAGGTAATCCGATGACTTTTGGGAGACATTTCCATTCAATGATCATCACCCTGGCCTGAAGCCCATCGCAATTTTGAAGAAAAAAAAGATGCCTCGCTCATATAGCAATATAGGGTAATTTTAGGGCCCACTTTCATTCGAATTGCACAAAAATACAAGCTTGCAGGTCTGTTCACGGCTTCCACGAAAACCCTCAAGTTCATGACTCACAAAATGCTCTAATAGCAGAGAATTTGAGGGCATGCAACTTGTGATTTGGCGGGCGTATGATTTAGGGTATATTTATTACTGCCATGCAACCTTCAAATACCAGTACTTTAGCTATTTCCCCCCCCCCCCCGAAAAAAAACCCGTATACCTATTAGCATAAGTAGGATCCATTATATCTAAAACTGAGGATACAAAACCTCTAAGGTCAGTAACAGGCTTGAATGAGGACTATTATTTTCACCAGCTGGTATGCCTTGTCTGTTTGTGCGTTGCAGTTTGTTGATTTCCCCATTCCCACCCAAATTAGACAGCAATAGCTCATTTTCAACCCCACCGTCGCAGTATTGGTGGGCGTCACCATTTTGAAACTATAGTTGCAGACAAATCCAATAAACTGCCATGGTTCATTTCATGACTTAGTATTTAGTCATAATTACGACTTGTATCTCATAATTATGACTTAATATTAAGTCTTAAAATTAATGTGGCCTGACGTTGCGAACTTAGCAAGTTCTTCTTCAGAGGCTAAAACAGAAATGACAGAGGTACATACATTAACATGGGGGTGCACACAAACATGCAGGGCTGAAAGAAGAAACACAAAAGGAGGATTAGGTGTGAAAGGTGTGGAAAGATGCAGGGGAGGGTGGATGAGAGAACAAAGAAACAAAGGGAGATGGCAAATCACAAGGGGTCTTGTGTAAACAGGGGAGGGACCAGAAAGGGGAAGGATCAAAGGTCGCAGGGAGTGGGAACGGACAAAAGAGTGTGAGAGTGAAGGGATGATGTGGGGAGGGGGGAACAGTATTGAGGTGGTAAGGGATGAAAGATGGGGGAAGATGGGTAAACACAAACAAGGAAGACCAGATGGATTATCTGTAACAGGAGACAATGGAGGAAGAAAAGGATTAATCATTTCCAAGTTGGATGTTGAGACCATGTGGTTGAATAGTTCGAAGACGATTCATCCACACTTTCTCTCTGCTGAGGCGAACTGAGTCCTTGCGATGGCCAAGAGATTCAATGCCCTGCAAAATCATATCAGAAATCATATCAGAAGAGTGGCCAGAAAAGGAGTCAGACTCCTGGATATGAATCTGGCAGACAACACATCTGGAACTGCACTTGAAAGTACCATGCTGGGTGGGAGGGGATGAATCTAAGGAAGGGACTTCAGCTCGAACAATCAAGTCCCGTAGATTTCGAGGACGCCTGTAAGCCAATGTGGGGCCGTTGGGGATGGCGCGGGCAAGGCGATCTGAAGTATGGAGGATATGATGATTGTCATTAGTGATTTTGCGAAGGGGAGGGAGATTGGGGTGAAACGTGGTAACCAAGGGAATCAAGGGTTTGGCCATGGCATCAGGGGCCTTTCCCGTGAGAGCTAGATTTCTGGGGATAGCTTTAGCTCTGGCAATGGCACGATGAACTTGGCGAGAGCTGTGACCCCTGGCCACCAAGTTGTTCCTCAGTATCTGTGTATGGCGGGAGAAATCGGAATCATTAGAACAAATTCTTCTGAGTCTGAGTGCCTGGCTAAACGCTATGCCAGTTTTGCAGTGCCTGGGGTGACAGCTGGAGGAGTGGAGGTACTGGTGGGTGTCTGTGGGTTTGGAATACAGGTCAGTGGTTAGTGAGTTGCCTTGCTTGCGGACGGTGACATCCAGAAAGTGGGTTTGGTGAGCCGAGAACTCCGATGTGAATTTGATGGTTCTGTGGAAGGAATTGATGTGGTTAGTGAAGGTCAAGAGACTGTCTTCATCACTGGTCCAGATGAAAAAAACATCATCAATATATCTCCACCAGATCCAAGGGCGACATGGGGCCGAGGCAAGAATGCGTTCTTCGAGGTCACCCATGAAGAGGCAAGCCATCGACGGGGCCATGCGAGTGCCCATTGCAGTGCCGTGTACCTGTAGATAGTGTTCACCAAGGAAGGAAAAATTGTTCTTCGTTAGTATAATATTAAGTCATAATTACGACTTATATCTCATAATTATGACTTATGAGATATAAGTCACAATTCACTTAATAATAAGTCATTATGAGATATAAGTCATAATTATGACTTATTATTTTTTTATTTCTTTTCTAAGTTATGTCCCTTATTAAACGCTTCCGTAGACTATAATGTTGTCGTGCATGAAACTTTGAAATACGTCACATGAACAGTCCACAACCTCTGAAATACCGCAATGATATATATATATATATGTCATGGTATAAAAACTATACGGTAATTCTTGTCTTTAGAACTAAAGACGGAAGAAGTTGTCAAGAAGGCGGCCCCAAAAATCTGCTTCGAGATGGGTTGCTACGTGGGCTTGTCAGCCATAACCGTGGCTAGTCATATCCCGCCGGGAGGTCGCCTGATCACTGTGGAGTATTTACCAAGAATCGCCGATGTGGCTAGGGAACTAGTCCACTTTGCTGGTCTTGATCAGGTATAAGCTATATTAGAATAACCGTTTATACACATTTTCGAGTTAAGGTGATGTTTCTAGCTGACGAAAGGGCTTATTCGTTGTTACCCTTTACACAAATTCCTTCATTTGACCTTCACACAAATCAAGGCCTACAATTGCATCGCCTTATTTGCATGTTGTTTGTTGTTTCTTCCAACGGTTCGGGCTTGCTCGTTTTGTATCAAAGTATTAAACAGTTCATCTGCTTTCATCGAAAAAAAAACTCAGCGTCAGTTGGTACTAAATACGTCAGAGATAGACAAAATTTCAGTGCTAATCAGTTCGTTAGGGTATCGAAGTATCACCTGTCAAATTAAACAGTTAAAAAAAAGTATATTAATCCTTCTCGTCAGGTTATAACAGTGATCACGGGAACAGCAGAAGACGCCATTAAAGTCCTCCGCAGCGAATACCACGTGGACAAGCTGGATTTCGTCTTCGTCGATCATTGCAAGTGGCAGTACCTACCCGACCTCAAGCTACTGGAGAAAGAGCGGTTGCTACGCAAGGGAACGGTTGTCATGGCTGACGACATGCTGTGGCCTGGTGCCCCTGACTACCTCGAATACGTGGAGAACGACCCCAGGTACCAGACCGAGCGATTTAACTGCACAGTGCCCATGTTCAACGTACCTGACGCTTTGGCAATTTCTGTCTACACAGGGGACGATTAAAACCTAGGCTAACCTAGGCTTCTGAAAAACAATACTGGACACCATTCTAAAATCGAACTAACAAAAATATTGTACTTGATAGTAAATAATGGACTCGAACATGCCATGAATTCAATATGCCCAGAATGCTGTTATTTTTCTCTTTTTTTTAGAAAAAAATGGAATTTACCACCACCTATAGCGATGGTTTGGACATACCATTGCAAAAATATATTTTCCCCAAAATACTAAATTGACCGAATTTAGCGCAGTTTGCAATCGGTTACATATCCGAGAGTATAATTATTTTCCCCGAGTGGCAAGTTGGGGATCACACCACAAGAGGGTTCGAGTCAAAACGCAGTGATGAACATTTTTGAAAGGTATATGGCTTTCAACGAAACCTTGCTTTGCTTATAGAGAAAAATGATGATACATTTCATAGTTCGATATCTACTGTCAGCTGAAATTTCCAACAGGTTAGGGTTTAACAATCAGCTTCAGAATTATTGACTTGTTGTTCCTTGAATCGGCAAAAAAATACCCTTTTCCAGAATGGTGTCCATTATCTGTATATCAGTGTGTTCTTCCTATAACCCACGAGTATTGTTATAATTAATGGGTGTATACACTGTAAAAACGTTGGGTAAAATACTGTTGGGCAATGTAATTTACCCGACATTGGTATGAAATTACCCCATATTGGGTTGAATTGGGTAAAAACTATCAAACTTTTGGGAAGAATTTGCCCAAGAGAGTAGGCAGTTGATAATTCGACCAGCACCAATCCATTTTGCCGTTCTTTTTTACAGTGTAGGCCCCACCTAATCTGAAGTGAATGCTGTGTCGGGGCAGTGCGCACCGAAATCATATCTAGGCCTTGTGATCAGATTCTACACATCGTAATCTTAGAATAGGCAGAACGAGTTCAGAGTATCGTTCACTTATCGGTTAAATATCAAACGGGAGATCTAGACAACAAACATCAGTGGCCTACCACCTGCGGAGTCGGTTCAAAGTATGACTTATTAAAGGGAGGGTCCCGTTCTTTAGGAGTGTGGCACCCTAAAAATATATATATATTTTAAAATCGAATAAATCATTTGTTAGCATTGCTAACGTTATGCACTTTCCAATGAGACACTGGGGAAAAAATCGGTCAGTGCATCGCAAATATAACTTGTTTTCAATTCAGCTTTTGGATTAGGAGTGGGACGCTTCTATTCACCTTAGACATGACTCAAGTCGGACTTCAGTCGATATCCGCAACACACACGTAGTGCCATCACAATTCTATCACCAGCCTTGGGCCCAATTGCATCATGATATTGTTATCCTTTAGGGCTGAGGACTTGGAGCAATGGCGGGATTTGCGATTTCGTGTACAATTACCCTGATGGGAGATGTTGAGAAAAAGTTAGAGCACAAAGAATACAGGAACAAAAGAAGGGAACAACATGCGTTTGTTTATGGTGTTAATTGAGGACACACACGTGCAACATGGTCGGTGAATCGAGGACATGAACCAAATCGAGGACGACCTCGATTAGAAAACGTGTACAAAACCAATGAGAGCTGCTGCGAAAAAGTTAGAGTATTAACAAAGGAAAAGGGAACAGGAACAATAGAAAATCCTCGATTTACACCATTAACATACGTGTACAAAGGAAAACACAAAGCCGATCTTAGGAAGCATAGTTAAAAACGACTGCGTGGGTGGGTGTTTGTTTTTTTTTTTTTTGGGGGGGGGGGTGTTTCTTTTGAATAGCTTAGGACTTCACTCGTGACTGGGTGACTCGTCATCAACTTCTGATGCCGACTAGTAACTGACCCGGTTAAGACCCTGGTTAGGGCCTATTAAAGACCTATAATTGTTGACTGAGAATAACCCTCAAAACTAAATCAAACGGTATAGATGCGTAACCCAACGTTTTAAGCCCTTATAAAAAAAAATGACATAGTACAAAAAAATAGATTAACACGAATTAATTATTTACAGACTTTAACCCTAAAAGGGGAGGACGAAACCCAAACCCTTTTTTTGTCATTTGCCTTTTTTCGTGCCGAATTAGTTTCACGAAATTGACTATAAATTTGACGCAGTTTTGACACAAATTTCATGAAAATCGCATGCAGCGTTAGAGCAAAATGTCGAACGATTTGCGCGGAATAATAGATAGAGAAACAGGTTTGTTTTTAAACATTGATCGTGTGTATACTAACGCAATCCCTCAGGGACGGGAAGCGCGAGATTTTAATGACCATTAAACTACAGAACCCTTCACTCGATTCGACTGAAATTTTGTATTATGCTCTAAACATGAAAGCTGCTTGTATCAAACTTAATTTCAAAAGGATCACATTAATCGACGGGTCAAAAAAGTGAAATACTCAAGAAAAAAAACCTTTTAAACTTTCAGCAGTTGTAATCGTGTAAATAAAACAAACTATAATAAATAGTAAATTGGCAATGATCAGACAAAGATTTCTTTGGTGTTGTCCTTCACTGGTGTATTGGCTATTTATTGACGGATCCAGGCGGGGTAGGGTGGAGGTTGGGAAGGCTTAACAAAAGGCGAGGACAGGAGGATATGTACCCTTAATATATTTTTGCAATTCCCCCTCCCCAATAATTTATTCCAATGGGTATAGATTTAAACCAAATTTACCTCCATCTGCTCCGTATTTTCCCCCAGCCGTTATAAATGAGTCTTGGATATTGCTCCTCCGTTTCCTTATTTCTATAGTGTTTGTAAATCGTGGGGTTGTTTGAGTGCCCTCATTCGCCCATTGAGGTATATCCGCCCTCCGTCAAGTTGGTATAAAACCGCGGCTGTAGTCACGTCTATGTCAGGAATATCGAGTAATTTGTTGAATTACTTCGCCATTGTTAAATCATATTTTTTTCACAAGTTCCTCATGAAAACAAAGCTAGTCAAATATTAACGTTGTAAGAGTCCCTTTAGCCTCATTTAAAGTGTTGACCCTGAAGGTCTTAGCCAAATATCAGCCCCTCTGGGGCGGATCCAGGAATTTTTGCAGGGGGGGGGGGTTCATGGGCAAAAAAAATCTAAAATGTAGACACTTTTGTTTTCTCCGGACTTTTGGCCTCCGTAAAATCGTACCATGCCTTTAATGGGGGCGCTGTTCAAATCCGACGGTTATTAACACTATATCACGGTAACACTATATGTTCGCGGAATAATGTACATATAGGCCTACCCCCAACCAAGCTGGCTCTGTACGTATTTTGTCCAAGGCGGACATTATTTCGCTTGTACCCCCCCCCCCCCCCCCGCCCTGCAAACAGGACGCTGGGATACGCTGATGAATTCACGCTCTGATTGGTTGGATTTTGACCTGCGAGTCATCACAGTCATGACTCTGCAAGGTTTGAAACGGCCGTTAAGACTGATTCATTACTCTTTTATTCCAGTTTATAGATCGTGTTTTTTTTTTTCGTTAAAAAGCGTAATGGGGTAGGAAATTCTGTAAAACTTATCTGTGTTGTAAATTTACAATTCCCGTCACTTGCTCAGGCTCCGTTTCGAATCACGAACGGTCGGATTGCATTATGCGACGCTAAGAATTTTGTCCACATGGTTCGCAATGAAACAGAAATCACATCCGGTATGGAATGTGCGCATTTCTATGTGAGAGTTTTCGGATAGCATTTGCGCTTATGGCCTAACTGCGGTCTTAAACCGCTGCAGCCAGATGCTTTATATATGGGTCATATGCCACTTCCGTCACAAGATTCTGTGAAGCTCATCAGCGTATCCCAGCGACCTGTTTGCAGGGCGGGGGGGGGGGGGGTACGAATGAAGGACATTATTACTAACTTACAGAATGCAGGGGGGGGGGGTTCGCATATTTTTTTCATGAATTTATATGGAAAAAAATGACAGAGCTGGGGGTGACCCCCTCCTCCCCCTCTGGATCCACGCCTGTGACAACTACCATACGTTTGTGCAATGAAATCCCAGTGAGTGTTGCCGGCCTCATGGAAAGCAGGGCACGCATGCTTGTTTGACATGTTTCCATAACCCATGACCAGAATAAAACCCCAGATTGACACCAAACTAAATGATAGGGTGGCTGGGCCCCTATACAAACGTGTACCAAAAACTACACTACGACAGTCAAAACTGCATTGTGCAGCACAGGGATTAACCCTCCTGCTATTTAAACAGTCACAGAGAAATCAAAATGTCCATCACTTTTCCTGCTATACTTTAAACACAGGCTAGTCACCAGCAGTCAGATCATAATGTCAAGCAAGCCTTGTGACTAGTCAAACTGGGTCAACAGACTAAGCAAGCAAGTTGTCACAGCTGGCTTATCAATCACCCGGTGTCAAAAAATAGCTGTGTAAAGTAACTCAAACAGTCCCAGCCAGTAAATCCTGCTTTATTTAGGACTGTGAATTCATAACAGTTCAAAACAGTCACTTGTTTAATTTTGACAAAAAGGACTACTTGGCACAGAATGTATGTTTGCATAGGAGGGTGGTATTGAATTTAGATCATAGGTTATTTTCGATACACTTTGATCTTTCCATTAATAACTTCCTTATCGCAAAAACAATCCTTCCAAAGTTCAGAATGTCGGTTTTATAGGACATACTGGCAGCTACGAGTATCGTCGGATTTCAAAGAGCAGCTAAAGAGGCCTCCCGTAGTGGTTTTAACGATGGGACACTGTCGTCTAGAATGAGAATCTTTCTCTTACGAAAGATGATAGTTGTAGTAATTAAGATCGCTGAAATGTAGAAGATAAAATTCACTAAACTACACCCAAAATGGTAGGGTTTCTGTGTAATTATCAAGGAAATACACTACGGGCTCCACAAATTTTGTTCATAAGAAATCGAGCCTTTGGAGGTCGATTGTCATTCCAGTCACAACTTTGCATCCAAGGCGTGCGCTTAAGGATCTCCATGTGTTTAAGTCTGAGACAAGCGTGGAACTGACATCACAATATTGGCACTTACGTTACTGCGTATTTTATGTTAACACTATGCTGACAATTAGTGGAAAAAAATCAATGCCTTTTGAAGAAAGTACCTATACCTAGGTGTGGCAAATAAAGAATGTAAACAAATGTCCAAACACACACACTAAAAAACAAGGCAAGCCTTTCTATTCAATTAATTCAGCATGGCTATTCGCTGAAAGTCTTTTCATGCATGTGGACACTAATGGGCCACAATTTTATCCGGGGTAATCCTATACGATAGCACTGCCCGTCTCTCTTCAACAGTCTAAGTCACAAGTGCCATATGGATCATTCTATAAATTTGGGGTTCACTTTTTTCCCCGTCCCTGTTACATCTGACATCTATGATTGTATAATTCTGATGCACTCCTTAATGCAGTCATCCTCCAAGAGTGATTATGAATACCTACCCAACAAATAAACAATCATTTGAAGTCACTTTTAATGATGCTTGAATGGTATATTACAAAGTACCAAGGTAACAGGGACGGGAAAAATGTCACACTTTGGACCCCAAATTTATAGAATGACCCATATACCAGCCGGACAACCAGCCAG